AGATATATAGGCACATAATTAAGTTGAAGTAATAACTATACTTATATTCATTTCAGGTTTAAGATTTCGGGGAATACAATTTTTACGATCAAAGGATAATTCCTGTCTTTCAAATTCGCCGCATATTCGATAAGCATAAATTAAAGTGAAGTTCCTTGACATTTTTAGCGTTTAAATTCTTTGTGAGCATGCGATTTAAGAGTTCAAATGAAGTCAGAATGATATTAATTAAACTCTCGCGTGAACCCTGATGCAAGAACCACTCAGAGATGAGGCAAGTCTTGGGTAGTAAGACATTAATTAGAGAGTCAGACAACTAATTAAGACAGCAAAAAAGTATTAATATTGTTCCAGAAAGACATTATCAATTGCGATTTTTATTTAAACTGTAATTAAGTTAGTGCTAAGGTAATTTGATTCATCAGCATCACCCCAAGTTAAAACAATTCAGCCCCATTCTTAACGTTGCTTTAACAGAGAGTAAACAATTCAGCCCCATTCTTAATGATGCTTTAACCAAGAGTAAATAATAACTATTTTTGTACCTTGCCAATTGTGTGTTATCAATATTACAAGTTTAACCATCGATGTTAAGAGAACTTTCATTTCAAAACCATTGTTCACCTCATAATTTTTCATATTAGGAAAGCGTAAGCACTAAATTTTACATGTATTGTACAACGGGAATTAATAAAGTTTGAAACAGTTTCGTGATATTCTCGTGAAAATATCGGGGATATTCTTCTTCTCCGCTCGCCAGCATCATAAAACTGAAAATTTATGAGTGCGTATTATGGAATGCGAAGCTGGCATTTGATCAATCAAGAACATGCGCTTCTGATATCTTCTCACTCGATTAAAAAATTAACTCTCGATGGAAACACTGGACTAACACTGGCAAATGTGGTTCCTCGATCCTGCTTCTAGAAATTTTTGGGGGAATTTTCAGCTTCAAATCAATTTTTCAGCAGCCTTGAAATTTAAATAAATTTCTCAAACCGCATCCACAGTCGTGTTTAAATGGAAATTGCGAGACCTCTACGCACTCGGTTTACAATCCAGAAATCCATAACACATGGAAGCGGTCGCAATTTCACAACTAATATAAAATGTTGAAGATTTTACACGTATTACCTTAATCCTGTCATGGAACAAATTCAATCATCTTATCGAAATCTCGACGGCACCGCAGACATGAGTGTAAATCAGACATTAGAATTAATTTCTTCTCAGGATATATTATTTTTTATATAAAGAGCTTCTTCTTCGGCCTTCGAACTGGTGGCTTATCATCAGAGGCTGGTGGCTTATCGTCACACATGAAGGAATATTATTGCCCAGCAGGAATAATCTGTCAAAATAAAAGGCATGTTCGCACAAGTTTCCGCACATTTATCATCATGCGCACAAGTTTCCGCATAGTGAAATCGATGAGAGTGGAAGACGCATGCTCAGATTTTTTGACTTTTTAACTGAACCTGAGTTTTGAATGGGCATTACCTGATAGATATCACATCAAGATCGTGGGTGTTATCTAAAGAAATGCTTTGGGGTGAGTTTATGTCAACGAATTTTTTAGCTACACATCGATGTGGTTAAGTACTGCTAGCGTGTTCGGTACCTCGAGATATTTTTGATATTAATTATATTAATTTAAAGTGCTGTTGCAAGTAATGTTACAAGTAAAAATTTCTCTTACAATGTTGCTGAGACACGGACATTCTATTAAATTGTGATCTTATCGCTTTATTGTTGTGTTATAATTATATGTATCAGTATTGTACGTCAAACCTCCAACTCCTAATGCCTTCTTTAAAAATTGCCTTCTACTTCATTATACAAAAGATATGAGAAATTGTTTTTATTATATTTTAAATTTTCACTGTGAATAATTTCCACCCTTTCAAACGCTCAAAATGTTATGAACCATGGAAGTTGGAACATATTTATGATATCCTGCAAAGGATGCACAAATAAAATAAACAGAGAGCCGGAAATTGAAGTTGTGGGCAGCTCGATAGCGGCAGAGCGTTCACCTCTTGACTTTTATGAGCACTCAAAATTTCGGTCCAAGTGCTTGGATTTAAAGTCAAACTCTGAGCCAATAGAAAAATGCTGCATTTGTGATACGGGAAAGTATACTGTCTATTTCTTTACCAAGTTTCTGAGACATTAACTTTTGCATTAAGCTGTCGCGGTGGTGGAATCTGACGGTGGAAAGAGTACGTAAAGGTTATTACTTATTATTATCCTTATTTTTAGATAATGGCGTTAGCACATAATTGTTTATCAAGTTTTCCTTGATTCCAATTATTTCCCACCGATAATTGGATGTTCTAGTGAGCGAATATGAATTGTTGTTGCATCTGATCGTCAATATTCTCAGAGTAGTTCACCGATTCTCGCCAAGCCGTTAATAAGCACACCATAATCGAAGCGTATCAAATATACCATTAAAGGCTTTAGCACATTTATTATCTGATAATTTTAATGATCGAACGAAGGTCCCGAAGAAAATCTTAAAATGTCCGGCAGGAATGTGGCGACGCTTAAATCAAATCGAAACTTTATTGAACATATGTACCCGGACCTGAGTCTCGACCTGCCGACGTTTTAAGATGCTGTCAATGTATGCAAATTGGAGCAAACTCTGCCACTTGCCAGATCACTCGTCATCAATCCGGATTTTTGTCTCCAGACTTTGAAATAAAAAGCTGAAAATCTAGAAGATGATTACTTGGCGGCTCACGAGATAGACCAAGGATACTGGAGGCTCATAGAGGAAGACATTGAGCTGCCTTAGCCGTATTTGAGGAGACTAACTGACTTTGTCAGGACATTACTCTGTGATCTCTCGGAATTGAACGATTTTATGTCCCAAAATGAGACCCAGTATGGTTGTGACCGTGAGATTTTCCGTAGAAAAATGATGAGAGAGAGTTGCATTTCCGCCGTATTCTCTCTCATAGAAGATTTTGAAGCTACTCGAAATTTTTATATTCTAAACGAAGTCCAAGAACTTCTATTGGAAGTGTACATGCTCATTGGATTGAAATCATTTCCGGAACATTTCAGTGGCGCTAGTGAATAGACCAGCATCAGAAGCAGTCTTGCGGCGTTGGCGAATGCTTTGGACGCAGCTCGCGTGGAGCAAGCAAATGATCTGCTGAACAGCTCGGAAATACGAGACGTGAGCGCAACATTTTGGTCTCTGGCGTCTCAATATGAGGCCAGGAAATGGTCGGCGCTGGCACCTCAAAAGGAAAAATAGCTTTCACTGCGGTGGCTGCAGAATCAAATATCTCGCTGTTGTTTAACCTTTGACGAGAAGGCAATTGGAAGCTTTTTTCGTAGCCTTTTGATGGAAAACCAAGCCCTGCCGGATATTTTGCTCTGTGACGCCAGTGGGTTCTCTCAAGCGAGAAAAACTGTTGAAGAATGTGCGCGCCTTACAACTTATGTTGAAACTCTTGGCGCATAAATTGGAAGTTGCCAAGAGCAGAGCGACGGAAAAGTTATTTTGCTTAAAGCTCTTGCTTCGGCTTATGATAAAGAAAAATATGAGAGCAGTGCAACATAGGCAGTGAATGAGAACAAATAACCGATGGTCTAATATGGAGATAAAAAATTCGAAGTAAACCCTTACACAAACGAGCATGGAGACGCCGAAAAGTCAATGAAACAGAAAATCATAAATTTGATCCTCAGCTAATTCGGAGATAATATGTAAAACATTAATATTGAGGCCGCCTAAACTGACGGGATACTTTTCTGTAACAAATAAAAGTATCAGTAACGAACAGGAGCACCAGAGCGATATGCAGGAAGAATTATTTCCTTGATTCAAGAAAAATTGAACTTCGTGCATCGTCTATTGCTCGTGCATTATATGGAGTACTGTTTAATTGAAAATAATACTTGTCTCATCTCTTCAACAAACGAATCATAAAGATGAAGTACAAACTAATTGAATAGACCGCCCGTCACCCAGCACTAAACAGGATGCTGTGTTTCCAATGTCTCTTTGTATCACACAGGGAAGAAACCTTAATTGTTTCCTCTACGCTCTCCGAATGGAATGACATATTAAATAAAATACGAAGATGTATTAGCTACCTAAAATGAATCATAAAATAACAATATAATTCAGACACTTGTCGCTTGCTGTAGATGAGATGAAATTGCCGATCAATCAAATTTAAAGAAACTGGACTGAATATTTAGAAGATCATCGGTCCCATTTTTCATAAGTACTGGCATAGAAAAATGTCGTGAACAATTATTTTTTAAATGTTTTTGAGCATTCCTTAACTGCGGTGGTAAAGCCTTCCGTTTCACATGTGGATGTTTAGTCGTATTTCATTTGGAGCATGAGCGTAGGATGTCACCATTTAGGATTTTTCTTTAGATTTTAAGCTATGACCTCGTACAAAATAAATAAATTTTCCAACAAACAGAAGAGTTTAAAATTTTTTTATACATTCCTAAAAATCTGCTTTCGTAAGACCCTTTGAATAAACATTACAACATTTTAATTGAGAATCTGAATTGAATAAAGAGGTAGAGGTAACATTAGGCTTTTAGTGAATTTATTGCCTTGTTAACACTTACTTCCTTCATATCCTGGCACGACTACGGGAATAGTCTACGGAGTTTAGACCCAAAATTTCATTTACTTTGTGCTGTATCAAGATAATTGATGTTTTACCATAAATTTATTACAAGTATTTCATCCAAAATCGTTTAGGAAACTGATATAATATAAATTTGAATATAAAGATAAATTTTTATCCTTCCATCCTCAAGACTAACAAAATCTATTATTTTTGAGAGTAAAAAAATAACTTTTTTTGCCTGATTATGTTGTATGCAAATAGAATGACTGCATGTTGGGATTTCAGAACAATATCAAACCATTATAAAACAATGAGATTCACACAATTATATCACAAATTTTTATATCACTATGGAGACTGATACGTTTATGAGTTACTACTCACCGATACGAGCAGACGCTGAGCACTAAAACCTCCTGGCGTCACAACAGCCGGTGCAGCACTGCTGGTGGAGGCGACTGAGCGTCCCCTATTTATACCTTCCGGGCAAATCTGTGTACGCCTCTTAAATTCCATATGTTCCTAAGCTCCGCCTCTTCGATTTCTGGGGTACGAGTACATCGTAAGCCTATACTCTCGAGTGCCTTCATCTTTTGCCCAAATAGCCTCAGTTACTTAATGTGCTATGTAACGTTACAGGTTTTTGGCTTGACATAATCAAAATGGCTTAATTTAATCTAACCAAAATAATCGTTAGACTAAACTCCGCCCAGGTCGACATGACCTCTCGAATTATCAAAGGTCAGGCGCTGGAAGGTCGAAGGGTGACGAGTCCGTGCAATTGTATGCTCCTGCCACAGCACTAATGAGCGCTCCCGGTCTCTGCATCGCTCTAGTTTACAAGATGTTTATCAGAACTTGAAGCCGATGCTGGTAGGTACGATCTCATTAATAACTATCTAGTATACCGACTCCATTTTACTCTTTACTTTATAACGACAAATTATGCTCAAAGCTCTCGCATACTTATTTCCGCCTTGTGATAAATTGTCGAATTCGGCAATGATAGTTTTGGAGTACACTTTAGATATTTTTGACGTTATAGAACGCGTAAAATAACAATAATAATCCAGTAGTTGAGTCTTCACCCCAATATGAGCTACCTTGAAGTACTTGCTCAATTGTACCTGCTCTTGCTTGCTCGCTGTACTTGCTCAAAGATAATAAAAAATCTAATAATTCCGATTTAAATTTAAACAAATGTGTGGCGAGTAGCGCTCTAGGCTGGCGGAAGTACTGACGTTCACGGGCCGTAACTGTCAGCAGCGGCGACACCGGCGGGACGGCGGCCGCGTTCATGCGGGAGGCGCTCAGGGCGACTGAAAATTTGTACCCTCTGAGAGTCATATAAAATTATAAAAGGTATAATTAGTTAAAATTTTTTAAATAGAGGCATGAGAGGAGAAGCACTAGAAAGCTGTTGAGTGGACATATTTTTTTAGGTTATTTTGATTACTGATGCTTGAATCAGAAATTTTAGTGTTTATATTTGACATTACAATTTTATACACGGTTGGTGTTTGCAAACGCCCCATCAAGCAGGGTATTATTAAACTGTTCAACTGTCGTCACATTCATTATGTAAGCTCAACATTTGCACCTTACGCATTTTAAGTCCGAGTTACCGTCAGGAGTAAAATGTATAAAAAGCGTTTCGTGAACGCAGCTTGGAACGTTTTGAGGCCCATGTGAGGCAGTGAGGCACGAGGCACCTAAATTACTGCCACACAAATGATGGCCTCGTAGAGCAACTTTTGTGAATATTTTAAGCCTATCAAGAGACGGAGGCCTCGGCAGCCACAGCTGGCGCTGCTGAGATAGCAGCTGCCAAGGGGTGAGGGATCCCCACTCAAGTCAGGACTTGTTTTCCGCAAAAAATGTAGACCTACAGAGGTAGGTGAATTTGTAAATTGGTGAGCAAAAGGTCCTGAAAAACAAATGTATTCATATGAAAGATTTTGACATATTCTGTGTAGCTTCATTAGGATTGAACCTAAAAGCAAACGAAAATTCTAAAATTAAATGTAATATCCCTACGCACTTAAATAAATAGTATTTTACGATATTTTAATAAAAAATTGAATACCAACAAAAACAATCACTAAAATATAGTAACTTGCTAATATCTAGCAAAATTGTAGGTTAAGTAATCGTGTTAATGCAAAGAAAAAAAAGGTTACAAAAAGTTCACTGCTGCATGCGCCGTTGGCATCACATTCTGATGAGTATTTTTGACGCAATTGAAGGCCGGTTGTAACGTTGCAGAAATAGTTTTGTCCAACTGGAGACCTAAGTATTGCATTCAAAGATATTCAGCAATCATGTGCACATCAATTGTCTTTGTTACTTAGGATTGGCTCTGTTTTTTAGGGTTGCTGTGGCTGAACCCGAGCTGTGTCTAAGAGAGTACTGGATGGAATCCTAGGCCCTGAGTCAATCTGAGTAGACCTCGAATAAATCACGTTGAGATTTGAACACGGATCCTGTGTAGTGCCATCTCGTACAAATTAAATTGACCATACTGCATCCATTTATGCAATTTGTTCTCAATGACTTTTTCCCGTTTCTTAATTTGTTATTTGATTTTTGTTGCATAAATTTTTTTTCCCTTACCGAGGGACTTTGGATAATGTACCTCATACACTAAAACGAACCCGATGCAGCTCCAAGTAAAACGAAGCTCCATTGACCAACAAGCGACCGAAAAGCGAAGCACTGCAGCTCTTGTTGAGCTGAGATGGTCACGACGACTTCTGAATTTCTGTCGAATTTTGAGTCAGGATACTTGCCTTAACTTTCGGCTACGTCGAGTTCCAAACCGCGGTGACTTTAGAGAATTTCATTATGTTTAATTTCTCCAAACCATAACAATATAGCTTTTCGCAATCAGTTCATAGTAATGTCATCTCTTATTTTTAATCGACTCGTGCTGTATATATCAGTACATATTTAAATTTGAGCCATACCATTTTTAGAAAAGATTTGACCTGCATGAGCCTAAACTAGAATGCAGCGACGAGAAATTTTGATGCGGCCAATATCAGTCGTCTAAATCGGAAGCTATGGAAATGAGGATCTTCCTCGGATCGCCTATGTAATCCACATACAAATATAAAATAATGTAAGATTGTCTAATTAGGAATTACGTCGGAATGAGGAGTAATGTGACAACAAAAGCATCACTAGGAACGAAAATTTCCTCACAGTCATGTGTAGAAAATCCTTAAAATTTTAGCACTTTGAATGTTAAAATAATTTTTTGCACTTCGTTGCACCCACCGCTTGATAGACTGTCTTACAGTATTCATTAAACTGGGGATACTTCTGTTGTAAGTTTCAGTGAAACGTCATTTGCGTTGTCATTTGTGATAAAACTTGTGGCACTCGCTACAGCAGTGCTAGCCGCTTTACGTGTAGCATCTTTCAGTTTCATTGCAAGCTGCGGAGTTCGTCCGAAGGTCGGTGAATGCATCTGCGCCTACGGAACAAATAAAGCAAAAGTGCGTCAGGAGATATACGTCCGGCATCAAAAAGTGCGACGTCGCCATCAACTGAGATGAAAATTCGTGCAGCTTTAACGAGAAGCTCATAAACGGAGAGAAGGAGGCGGTTGTGTTGGGACATCGTGGCAAGAGGCAATTAAGTTGCAACTCGGCAACCAGAACTACACGACATTTATGGCGTGTACGAGTTGTTATGAAGGGAATTAGGAAATTAGAAGGCAGGAAATTACAGTGGGAATCCATATGACACTATAGAAGTGTAGTAGTAGAAAAGAAGGTAAACCATTATGAGATGAAATATTGTATTGATATTAGATTTATAGAAAAGACGAAAGAAAATTATCGGCTAACGACAAATAAATGCTTGGAAGTATAGAGCATGTTACAAAAATTAAGGTTAAGGGTTTAAGGCATAAGAGGAATTAGTAAAATTACATTGAACTAATGAATGTAGGGTACACAGTCATGACTACATTTGTATTCAACAAGCATGAGATTTATAACCAATTATAATGCTAATCAAATAAGTTAATGCATACACGTAATGAAAACTTGGAGACTCATTGTTCTAAATATGAATGTTTCTAAAATTAGAGGCATCGTTTGCTGTCTTATTTTTTTTAATAAGACTCCTCAAACTTTAAAGCGCATAGAATGATCTGAATATCTTGCCTCTAATCTGTTGACTCTCAAGTTTTCGCTCCGGTTGTTCTAGTATGAGGCTTGCCAGGATATTGCGATGTGTTCTCGCATGCCGCACCAAAAAGCTATTTTCATGCCACAGACTGTCACATAAATATACACTGAAGAAGAACTAAAAAATTGAATACAGAATGTTAAGAAGTGTGACATTTTGAACGTGAGTTGTAATTAATATCTTACCGCGACATTAGCATTGGCCGAGAACTCAACCGACAAGTGTTTTTAGCGCATTTTCTCATTTATGGGAAAAAGGCGCTATTGTGCTCGTCATGTCCGTCCGCCCGTCCGTGACTTCACGTTTTCGTCGACGAGAAAATGCGCTCTCTGACACTCACTGCAGTGAGTACCTACTGAGTTATATTTTTTAAAGTATGTTCCAGAAGACTGTTTGTTAATAACGATTATTGATAACAAATATTTAGACTGAATTTCTCTAATGATTGTTTTTGCATTCACAATGTTTTGGACTGATGAAAGGGCTGATCACCAAAACATTTATTATGAAGATATGGTAACTTTTCTTCGCTTTAAATTATTGGTTAACGCCATTTAATCAGACAAATGACCAAGTATTTAAGTCACCTGACTGATTAAAATGCGTTCTAACTTGTAAACTAACTGTAAATTGAGTGGATCAGACTTTCCGAAGTGAGGAACAGACTGCAATTTCGCATTTGTATGGTGTTAGAGGCAGTACACGGCATCGCTGCATGTTACATTGTACCTACTTGTATGGTGGAACGGAAGTACTCAATGTCACACGATTTTCACAATGTACGTCGATGGCGCAATGACTGTACTTTATGTAGTTGCATCACAAGCGACGGCGAATTGACATTGCTGCAGCGGACTGAGTATTTTTACAATTAAGTGCTGCTATACTTAGTGAAATCAGCTTTGCATTTCTTATTTAGAAACGACGATACAGATAAAATTGACTTTACGAGTTCAACGATGTATCTGAGGCTTTTGACGTCAAAAGACGTTTCTTGCAACCTAATAAATTTCTTGCTTTCAATCAATTCCTCATTTGATCTTCGTATACATAAAAAACTGTATATGTAGAATTGTTTGCTGAAGAACGAGCATGCTTGAGCGGTGGCTGCAGACTTAAAGGGCTATTGCTTTTAAAGCACTTATATGCTGCGGTGATTTTTAGCTTGCTTACCCAGGGAAAGGTTTATAAAGTGGAGTGCGAATTTGATTGGGTTCGTCATGCAGCTCCATCATCACCCAACTGTCACTGAACGAACTAATGTTTATCTGAACTCTGCACGACACAATATTTGACACATAATCTCGATTTTTTTTAGTTGGTGTAATATCAATTGAAAATATAGGCAATGGAACTCTTGTACATTCATGTTCAGGTTCCAAGCAAAAACTGAATAAGTTCGTTACACTTGCAGTTATGCCTGAACGTATGTGCAACGTTTTCTTTAGAAACAAATAACGCGAGGAGAAACTGCTGCTCTTTCGATTTTATAAAATTTATAGTATTTGGATGTAGGAATACGTAATTGTGTTCATCTGCAAACACAATTTTGAACACCAAAATGATTCATAGTTTCGTTCTATGAAATTCCAAGCGATACTTGGGTAATACTTTAGATTAAGTGCATCCAAAAAAGGGTGTTTTTTTTAATTATATGTTTTTGGGGTTTAGATAAAGAATCTGAAATCCGTTTTGGGCGGTCGGCATCAGAAAACCGATTTTCTTCCCCGAGGCTCTAATTCGTCGAAAAAAATCCGGGAAAAATAGGCAAAATCGGCGAAAAAACTTAACCTAACTTAACCGTGGTTGCAATGTCGTGGTTGCAAGAGTATATGGGTCACCGAGGCCAAGTTAAAAACGTTATAAATCCACGGATATTGGGGCCAAGATTTAACTTGCATTTTATCTTAGAAAATATATAAAAATCGGCATATATAAAAATCGGTTTTCCGATGCCGACCGCCAAAAACGAATTTAAGATTCTTTATCCACACCCCAAAGAACATATAATTAAACAAAAAAAAAACTTTTTTGGATGCACTTAATCTAAAGTAATACCGATACTTGTAGTGGCGGTTTCAATACGACCAACATAAGTAGTGACAGATCAGAGTACCCGGGTACTTGCAGGTTCGATCACAGCTTCCTGTGACAGTTCTGGTCACAATCAGCGAGGTGGCCGAGTGGTTGAGATGAGCAAGATTGAATCAGTGACTTGAGGTTTGGCTATACCAGCAAGCTGTGAGAATTTGGCGATGTCTGGAATCGGTGACAGACCACATTTACCTATATGGCGCCGACATCACTCTTGCTAAATATTCCAGGGATCATCTTTCCAAATAGGTAAATGTCAAACCACCGTCTTCACACGCACACACGCACATATGACTGTGATTTTGACGCTTTCAGAAAATTATGATGACCAATTGATTTCAAATGAGGAAAATGAAGGCTCTCAATAACATGTACTGTTTATTCACAACATGGCGCTGAAAACGCTTTCAATATTTACATATGAACATAGCCCGATTTTCGTTTGAATATTTAAAAAAAAAATCCGTCAGAAAATAGAAATATGTGGCAAAAGCCGTTAGTTCGTTCGTAAAATGGATGAAAACGCTTGAAACTAAAGTTGTGGTATTTACAAGAATTTAAATTTCCACAATACCATTAAATTTTTGTCTTTCATGACACTATTTAACGGAATTTGATACATTAAAACTCAACAAGGAACAATATAAATCTAAGTAAGGTAATATACTGTGATTGTGAATTTTATTTTTTCTAGAACATTTCGGAACTACTCGATAAATATAATGGGCATCACACTTATTTTATTAACTTACCGTAAACACTTGAGGTTATGTAAAAAATCTTACGTGCATATATAAAGCTAAAATGGAATAAAAATAGGTTTTTCAATAAATTAGAACTACAAATCACAGACATTTGTCCATAAATAATGCAAGACTACTTTTGACACGTAATGCGCCTTTAGGTTGTTTCGGAAAGCAGTCGCTCATCGTCAGTGTATTTTTCCCAACAATCGCACCTATGTTAACTTCTTAACCTCCTTTGGAATGTGTATGATGTGCGCATGTTTCTTTGCAATTAACATCATTACTGGGAAACGAGTATAAAGCTATAATAGGTGCTCAATTACAATAAATCAGACAACAGTATATTAGGTGAAGCGCTGAATTGATGTATTTGCAAATATTAAATGAGTTGGTGAGCACACACCTAGTATTTTAAGTTTGCTATGATGTACGTATTAAATAAATTTATGCGAAATTGTTGTGTGAAGGACGTCGCCATTATAGCTAGTTTAATAAAAGGCTAAACATTTAATGAAAGCATACAGAAAAATTAGTCCGAAATAACAAAACCTTAAAGCGTTCGAAAGAAAAATTCGTAGCATTTTGCGTCACGTAGTTATAATGTACAAAAGAATTACTATCACTATTCTCAGGCAGTCTCCTGTGATAACTGTTGTACAGCGAGGAACTCTTCGGTGTCGTTGCTTGCGATGTTCCCGTTTTCAGTCTCCGCAAGCCGCAACTTTTGGTCTTCCAGCGATTGTGGTACCTTTTGATCAGAGTCGATGTCAGGCATAGGCTGCAGGTAGATGAAGCGTGCCAACACTGACAGGATCACCAGCTGGCCCATCAGCAGACAGCACAGAATTGCTGTCGAAAAAATACAGCGATAAATAATTAGAGTGCGTGAGGTTCATTTAATTAGGAATGAATATTCAATTGGCATTCACGCAGGAAGTACTTATAAACATGGGAAAAGTTATTACTACCCATTTAGGGTGGGATTTTTTTAAACAATTAAAGGCAGATTCACAGTAGCAAATGAAACTTTTGATTATTTTGAATGAAAAATACACCACCTCATTCCATGAGAACGAAACTGCACGATAGAAAAGAGCTCATTTTAACCGTGTTGAGAAGAAAGCATACAATTACATTACAGAAGCCGCCAAATGCTCAGCAGTATAAAAATTATATTAAACGCACTGAAAAGGAAGCTAGGAAATATTTTCCTTACTATTGGCGTAGACTTTAGGCGATATGGGCGGTACGCAGGGGATGGCGCCGGCGGGGAGGAGGATCACGCCGAAGATGAGGGCCTGGAATCTCAGGAAGACGAGGCACAGCTGGAAGACCAGGATCTTGCGGCCGTAGTGGTAGCGCCGCAGCTCAGGGATCGAGGCTTTGAACATGACGATGAAGGCCCACAGGGCGAGCAGGAACGACGTCGTGGTGATCGTGAAGACGTACACGTGGCCTTTGTACGGGCTGAAGTCTCCGAATGAGTACCTGTGTTGAAGTCAGGATGAATCATTTGTGTTCATTGTAGGATAAGAGAAGTAAACAAGAACACAAAGTTTATAAATTTATTTGATTTTAATTCTTAATTTAAGATTAATTCGTGAGATGAATTAATCCATAGTACAGGGTAATTAACTGTACCTATTGTTTAATTTAGAGTATAGATTTCTTTAAAATGACTTTTGAAGAAAATCCCATTTAGCATATCTGCACGAACCTTATTCTACCTAATGTTGCTATTTTTAGGAGTTATTATCATTGCTGGGAAAATAAAAGAAGGGATGTTCAAAGTTCAATGATTTTTGATTGCATCATAAAAATGTATTATGGAATACTACATCAAAATCGCTTAGTGCTTTAAAATTGAAAAAATTACGTCAGATTTAGATATTATAATTCTTGATTTGATGAGGGCTTCTTCATGTCCTTTCATGATGCACATTATTTTGATAGAAGAATGATGGGAATCATTATTACACTATGTGCGATAATGATTAACGAAGTCTCGAAAGAATAACTGATTAAGAGATTGTAAGTTTAGTGAATACTTTCCTCGATCAAGGTCGAGATCTTTTGCTAGAAGTATCCGAGAATATTCCAGCAAATGACTTACAATCCTTCCTTCCAAAGCGAGATGCCGATGATGGTCATCATGCTCTGCACAATCGGGTGCTGGTACAGCAGGAGCTTTATGAACCGAATTTGCCGTCTGCAAAGTCATCAACAAAAAGAAGTTAATATAGTTCTAATGCGTTGAAAGTTAAATATGTTGAAATTTATTAATATGAAATGAAGTTTAATATTATACTGAAACAAAAACTGCTCTCACATGACTAATCCATGCAAACAAATTTTTTTTTCGCGTTTCATAGAAACAATGAATATTACTTCTTGTACAAAACCGAATGCATGTAATGGAGGAATAAGATGGAACTTTGTTTACTTGTTAACAGGTCGCTTAGGACAGAAAGGCCAGCAGCAGGGCCAGCAGCAGCACGGAGGGCCCCTCCACGGAAGAACTTTTCCTTCAAGCGACTGCACAAATTTAGTTTCTCCGCCGAAATAAACAAGAGTGAGTTTGAAGAACTGCAACATGCAGAGCGCGAACCACAGTTGAGATGAAACATCCATCACGCTGTCCGCTTTTGGGAATAGAATACCGAGGAAGGTGCATAAGCCAAGTACCTGTGGGAATAAATCATTAATACTTCATACGCAGTGCTGTTCGTGTGCAGCAACTTGAACAATTATAATGGCATCGAATTAATGGTCGTATAATTAAGTTGATAGCCTGTGAAAATTTGATTTAATTTCGAGCCGAAGTTTGTTTGGCTAAAGACTTCCTGCGATCGAAGATTCGTTTACTGAAAAAAATTTGATTGTTAGCAAAATGGATTATTGGGAATGAATTAGGAACCATTTCCCTGAACTTTATTAGTGACGCTGAAACTGGCTTGCAAATTGGATGTTGAGTTTGTGACATAGTACGTATTTCGCGTAATTTTATATTATGGATATTTTAGTCATTTCCTTTGTTTCAAGCGTCCACAGTCGATGACACAAATCCAAGGAACTATTATTTTCTGAATTGGAATTTAAACCTCATATTCATGGAAATCCCCACCCAACAAAGACCCGTAAATTTGTATTAAAATCTCACCGGGTAGACGGAGAGAACGAACGTGACGCAGGACTTGTGTTCGCGACGGACGACTTTCTGCATGCGTAGGACTGTGTCGATAAATACAGCTATGAGAATGAGGAGTCCGATCCCTGCCATCGCCATCATCACATAGCCAGCAGGTCCCAGAACTGTGAAAGAAGGAAGAAACTAAGTTAATTTCACCGTTTATAATTTACGACATCAGTGAAATTTTGTATCACTATTATTGCTTGTTTCAGATCAGCAAAGTTGTAATAATCTCGAACACAAAATGAATTCAAGAAACATTCATGCATGAATTAAAATATAAAAATGGGCGAATGAAATTCCCCCGAAGCACCTAATGAACCTCGGGAGTTGGAGCATCAGTGGCATGCACGAATTGCCCCACAAGAACTTCGGTGTATTTTCGAAAGTAAAAAGAATGAGCGACTCTAGTACTGACCAGATTTATTGGTCAGTGCAAGCGCAGTACAAATAAACAAAGTGGGAGCCAAGAAGGGCAGTCTCCAAGCAAGGTGGTTTGAACGTGACAGTATTTAAACCGATTTTATTTTTCTATAAACCAACGTCGTCGAGTACATTAGTGAACCCTGAGAGAAAACAAGTTTGACTGCCCAAGCCAACACGGCGTTTAATCGAGATCAATATAGACACGGTAATGCCTGGGCATCGTGTTGGTATTCAGATCTCATCGGCTATCTGTTATATATTCCTCCTTAAAATTTGATCGTAATCTAAATTTTTGGCACGCTATTTTTCAGGCTCTTCACTAGCATTCAAATTATTCCTGTATGCGTAGTCAATGAGTTGTTCTTATATCAGTCCCGTCAATATTAAGCTCGAAAATATGAGGTTTTTTAGTCTCAGATATGTCAGCTTGCGTCTTGCAAAGTGCGGATTCCTGCGATGTGCAACATATGCTTAAATAGTACGTAAAACTTTTTTGCCTAACTCTACAGTTAATTTTGAAGACGGCCGGTTTGCCGAAGAAATATGCGTGTGTTGTTTTCCCGGAGTTTTCTTATATGCAGGAAGACGACTTAATTAGTCTGCATAGCTAGAGGACTGGTAAATTAAGGCGTTTTTCCCGCGTTCAAAAAACGACGGTTGATCTTTTTCCATATTTTTTTTCAAAATTCTGACGCTGTATATCTACTGTAAAAGTTTTTTAACAAAAAATAAATATTTTCCACTATCGTCAATTCAAGATATTTTGTGAGTTTTCATTTAGTACTGGAACGACATACATGTACGTAGGTAGTTTTTTCATACTGTGATCGTAATTTCGAAGGAAAATAAATGTGCGCGAAGCACAAAGAAAGAACGAGCATCGCACCCTGGCATTACACCCGCGCACTTGGTATAAATAACCGTTCGGAGCAGCTGCGGCAGGCAGCGCCTTGTTTAAGGCAATGAACATCGGCTTATCGTTATTGGCTGCTTGAGGTGATTGCGTTAACAATCATTAAATGCCGCACGTTGGTGCATACTTTCGCTCCACGTTTTTGTAAATTATTACATGCATGTAAATAGGCAGACATGTTTAACTATCAAGAGTGATCGCATGAACTCTATAATAAAAGTATTTTCGGTACATTCATGGAATCTATGATAAGATTGGTTAATCCTCAGCTGAGAAATAAATTCATCAACTTGCACTGATCGTGGGTATATTCTTAGCTCCGTTTCAATAAAGATCTACACATTTATTATTGAAAATGACTGGTAGCAAAACATCTCAAAATCTCATTTAATGGAATAGTTTCAAGCCTGAAAACTTGTTTAGAACTGCAAAATGTAGCTATTTACGTCTCAAATAGACGGTATCAACATTCTGAGCAGCGTTCTCCGTTTCCCCCGTCGAATAAGTACCCGAAATCATTAGTTGCCAGAGACGAACATCGTCGTCTATAAAGGACATTTATAGACGACTAACATCGTCGTCTATAAATGTCCTTCAGATCGTTTCAAAGCTCATCTCCCTCAGCTACGCCTCTCGACAGCTGTTGCCTTACGACCGACGTGAACTTCTGGCGGGAAATTTCAGTAAAATAATTTCTCAAGCTGAGCCTTTGGTAAGCCGAACTGGCGATAATGCGTTCGATAGATGCACCTAAAGTCAATTTAAGGATTCTTGATTAAGATAACCTTCAAATTTATATTGACTTGAACGTCAACAAACTCTGAAGTCGTGGATAAAAAGCACTCACTGAAATTTAAATAATTTTTTTCCTAAATTAACCATTCCCTCATGCATAATAATCTATTATTAAAATCGTTATACATAGACAATATATTAATGAATTCATTTTGTTCGCATTATCAGGTTATGCACACCAACAACATATATTTGTTATTCAATGTATTGTGAATGACGCTTCAGCATGACATGCATAACAACAAGGTCTTTGTTATTCAATGTACTGTGAATTACGCATTAGCATGACATGCATAACAACAACAAGGTCTTTGTTATTCAATGTATTGGGAATGGTGCATCAGCATGACATGCATAACAACAACAAGGTCTTTGTTATTCAATGTATTGGGAATGGCGCATCAGCATGACATGCATAACAACAACAAGGTCTTTGTTATTCAATGTATTGGGAATGGCGCATCAGCATGACACACATAACAACAACAAGGTATTTGTTATTCTATGTATTGGGAATGGCGCAGTACAGTGGAGATGCGTTCTCATTCACCCTCAGCTGCTTATAGCTGCGCTCAAGAAATCAGCGTATCATGAGGATTTTTGCACCTGATTTTAAAGTCTTCTCAAACCGTGGCAGGCAATACAAGAAATAATGAAACAAATATAATATCTGAATGGGAGGTGGCATGCGGAAGCATCATACCGTCAGATTAACTCGGCTAGCTGGCCTTGCATGCGTTGGGCAAAATAACGCTTGCATGTAGTGAAACACCTGTGGAGGATATTTTGTGCGCAATTTTATTAGGGAAAAATTTCAAGAAAATGTCATATGTCGATGACTGAAAAAGAAAATCCAGGTTACTAACACTTATTAATTGCAATATATTTCGATAGATCTTTATGAAGTACGGGTTAAAGATAACTAGCTCGTCGATATGTAAACGATCGTCGAAACTTGGTCGATCATCGAAACGAAGTATTCGGCCTACGAAACAAAATTTGCTAAAATATATGTTCGTTTATCATTATTATTGTTTTTACCATCATAATGTTCGTGCGTAGTTTAATGATTGTGCTTTCGAACAGGATTATCAAGTAGAGCTCATAAGATTTCTGCACACGAAGTATTGGTGTTAAGCATGAAAAAAACCCGGTTGTATCCGTTTGTGTTCCCAAGGAGCTTTGTTTATTGGTAAATCCTCAAAATTAACAAACAATCTTTTGTCATCAACCGAACAATAGGAGCTAAATTGCAGGGAAAAGCAGCTCCCAGCAAATTAAGAAATGCATTCAAAAGACCGGCTTGGAATTCATAGTAAATTTACTACCCTGATGATTCGAACATGATAATTAATTTCACATTCGCAATGAGACAATGACAACAATTGACAAGTAATTTTGTAAGGATTTATGTGACTTAATATTAAATATCTAAGACTTGTTAGTTATTTTATACACACGAAAAATTGTATGGTTGAGCTAGACTGGTACATAATTCTCATATATTCTTTTAGACCCAAATAATTAGGAATTACCAATTTATGGAATTTGTGAAAAATTTTCGCGAAAAAGATCCTTGCGCTAATATCGGCAGTTGACAGTTAATTAATGAGATTTACATGAAATATGTATTGCGAGGTCATTCCTTGCAGATCAACTCTAAGTCGAAGACTACATAAAAACTTCCGCGCCCGGCAAGTGACAGCCCACAAACATTTACCATGTTAGGTAAACAAGCTTTGCCAATAAAGAGAAAATTCTCATAAAAACATGGCTATGGAGATGATCAAGACAAGTATTTAACTGATCAGGCAATATCTTTTTCTGATAATATTGTACGGAATTTCGCATGGGTAAAAATATGACACCAGGTTAAGCTTAATTTGGGAATGAAAAAGTTTAAGATGAGTAGCGAAAAGATGAGTAGTGAAAAGTCGAGAAATCATCTTGGCATCCGATGTCTTGGAAACCGATAAAAACGACATAAGAAAATTATTGAGTATTAATATTTCAGCTTCAAAAGTTAATCTTCCGTTTAGGTAAGTACGTTAAGTAAATTCGTTTGGGAAAATCCAGCATATTTTGAAATATTGACCTTTTGCATTTATAACATATATGAACAACGAGCGCAAAGCACCGATAGCTGCAAAACGGTGCAATTTGAGTGTCTTCTGACGGGGGTGACCCCTTGACGTTGATGCCTGTCTCGTTAACGTTGTTCTAGGCCATCACAGTGTGATTTATTATGCGATATATATTTGTTCTATGAGTAAATAGTTTATACGCTATGTCTGTTGAGAAATGCTTGAAAGAAATGAGCTCGTTATAATGCACACGTTCGGCTACTTTTCTTTGTTAAACTTACAAGAGTATATTCGTGGCAAATAGTAAGATACAGTATCATTCATCATGTGCGCATAAGCCTTCATCATAAAGCCTAGAGACGAAGATCTTCTACAAAACCCGATGAGTAATACACATTAATGCGGAAATACGAATTGTGGGTGTGGTGAATCACTGCGTGGTGCACTGAGTTCGCCGCGCGTGAGGAAATGGAGCCAAATTGTGGTCGCTCTCAATGACATCGCCTAAAATGCTGAATTGGGTAGCCAGTGTAGCGAGCTTCGACAGCAAGGATCTGGTAATACAAACAATCCACTTGCTTGAAAAGTTTTGGGTGTTCATCAACATTTTTAAATGGGATATAAATATTTTTCAAATGGCAATGATTTCAGTGCAAGAGTTCATGATGCACTGTTCGTCAGCGGCAACAGCAGGTGGTGGCTGTACTTGTTCTCGCTGCGGCATCACGTAGCGTCAGCAGCAACAGCAGGTGGTGGCTGCACTTGTTGTCGCTGCCGCATCACGTAGCGTCAGGTCAGTCGTGGCTTGGGCGTGACAATGCTCGCTACTTACTGGCGCAGTCTCTGATAGCCAACTGATCTTCACTCGCCACACCTTTGTCATAGGAAATTTTCATGGCGACTCCAACAGGTAGAGGATGCACCTACTGCCGTTGTGTATTTCCGCATATAACTACGATATTTGTTGAGAATTTGATCAAACTTCTTAGCGCGCCTTTATTTAATGGTATTGTGGAGCAATGCTTCAATTTTATTATTTTTAATTTTAGTTGTGATTTAATTTATGCTGTCAATATTTTCAATGCCACCAAAATATTTGAATACATACATATATCATTGCATTGCATTGAAATGGAAAAGAATTACTTGCCGAAACCGAACAAGTGCTTTCTCATCCATACTTAGAAGAAAATATCAGAATTTGTCTCCAACAATCATCTTTACGTTTATTTTGCTTTCTAGCTGTACCGTTTCAGCCATGGATGCGTGCAACTATAATTGTGGAAATATCAGAATTTGTCTCCAACAATCATCTTTATGTTTATTTTGCTTTCTAGCTGTATCATTTCAGCTATGGATGCGTGCAACTATTGTGGAAATATCTGAATTTGTCTACAACAATCATCTTTATGTTTATTTTGCTTTCTAGCTGTATCATTTCAGCCATGGATGCGTGCAACTATTGTGGAGCTCCAGGAGCCCTGAAGTGTGGCAGATGTCACGCTGCGTGCTACTGCAGCCGCGACCATCAGAGACTCGACAGCGGCGATCACAGAGATCTTTGTAAAAACTACACCTCGGTGTCTTCCCCCGACCTGGGAGAGTGAGCCTCTTATAAAACTGCACAAATATGTCTGAATTCAAATTGATAAATCTGTAAACATTAACTTATTGCAAGTCCGTTTTGAGACTGTAAAGGAGCGTGCTGTAAGGCATGACAAATGGACCTGTTATTACGCTAAAGAATGTATATGCGCACTCCCTGTGTGTAAAATGAGAATATTTAAGGAGTACTATGAACATTTTAGAAGCATTCCCCGTAACTGATATGGAATTTTGCGTACTCGCGGTAAATGAAATGCGACTATCTGCATATTTAAGAGTATTCCCTGTGAGTGAGATATGAATACTCGTATCTTTCAGTACTCCGTGTGGAGAATACTGTTGGTGATTTATTATGCACACATGAAAGCATTCGAAACTTTAAAGCTTAAGATATTGCATTTCATGCTCGAGAAGTATAAAAATTAGTTAATTCATAATATTATTGCTCGCACATTCCTTGTAGCTTCAAATAGAATTTACTGATTAAAAAAATATAAATGCATGTTAGTTTCTGTAATAATCTATTTGTATTTTTTCAGGCACCTGGCAGCCACTTGTTTGATCCTGCCAGGGAATCTGATATTCTCCGAGAATCCCATCCTTGTTGGCCCAGTCGCTTACTCCGACTTGATTTGTCTCGGCTGCCATTCCGCTATCACCGAAGAGGATTTCAGCAAGTGTCCGGACTGCAAGTGGCCTGTCTGCAGCAAGGTCTGTGCAAACTCGAAGTCTCACTGGGCAGAGTGTGATGTACTAGCTAAGGATGAACTTGGAATTGGAATTCCGCAACACATCGGCCAGACTCCTCGCTATGATTTAATTATGCTTCTTCGAGGACTGCTGCTCAAAGAGACCGATCCAAAGTCCTGGAAGGTTTTAATGGCAATGCAAAGCCACAAAGAGATTTGGAAGAAAGACAATGATCCATTCCATGCAGCTGCTGTTAAGTATTTCACTGAAGTTTGTAAATGTGGCTTTGACGAAGATGAGATTCACCACGTCAGAGGAGTCATCATGACAAATTGCATGGTTTTTAAAAGCGACAAGGGAACTTCACTGAGGGCTCTATACCCCCAGTTTCGTCTTTTCAACCACTCGTGTATCCCCAATATTCATATCAGTTCGAATTCTGACGGGGAGATCACAGCTCGTGCTGCCGTCACAATTCAAAAAAATGAGCAGCTTTGCATTTCGTATACAGGCACCATGGAACCTCTTTGGCAACGTCAAAAATATTTAAGCGAAATTTATAAATTTCAGTGTCAGTGTAAAAGGTGCTCGGACCCCACTGAATTTGGGACATACTTTTCATCTCCTAGGTGCCCCGATTGTAGACGATCATTCATGCTTCCTTCTGGAAATGGTAGTATAAATTGGTGGATTTGTGAAACGTGTGGCCTTCGTTACGAGCTGATAGACGTTTTGCAAGAGGTGTCAGACTGGTTGAATCGCATCGACATGAGTGATTTCATCGGGAAGCGAACAGTAAAGCAGCTTAATAAGGACGTGGACAGAATGCACGATTCGTTCCATCCTCTGCATTATGTTCCTCTGCAGTTCACCCAGAATTTGCTTAGAGAAATTAAAGGTGAAAACTACGTAACTTTCAAGCTGCGCCAAGAAATATGGGAAAACCACTTGGAGATCTGCGACAAGTTGGAGCCTGGCCTTACCAGACGAAGAGGTAAGCTTGCCTTATATTTGTGAAAAATTAAACGTGTAAATGACTATTCCTTCTTGAAGAAACTTAATTTTTATTTAATATATTACTCAGCAATATTAAGCAACTCATTTTTTCCAGTAAGAACGAAGTTCAAGCGCTTGCAGTGTGTGACTTCGAAATGGTTTTGGTTGCGTAAAGTAAGCGATTTTTATTATGAATACTTAATTGTGATGAGCTTAGTACCTCTTTTCTTGCAGGGCGATCGAAGTTTCTTAAGTGATCGAACAACCAATTGGTAAGGTTTCATTTGCTTCACCCTTTGCATCTCAGAAACAAGCGTACTGTGATCAATTCCCAAAAACAAATTGTTTTCAATCAATATGTTTTGAATCCCCTGTTCAACCCAACCAGAATTCAACTAATTGTGAACGATTTGCACTTTTTCGATGAGACTGAACAGTCGTTGCGCTAGAAATACCGTCAGCTAAATACTCACAACAGGTCATTTTGATTTTGAAACGATCTATTTCGAGACGAAAGGGTGATTCATCAGGCGTTTTTTTGGTCGTTCGAAGTTTTAATTTTATATAGAATTGGTTCCCTTATTAGAAGGCAAGATGACTTCATAATAGATGGGGTTTTGAGATTTTAATGAACTGTAGAGTGCGTGTATTTAAAATAATTTACAAATTAAAGAGTGAAAATTCCCGAGAGAATCACCAGGAATTTATTTGACTGACGTTTTATCCACTTGCACTGCTGAGGCCATAACCGCCCATGTTTTATAATTTTATTTTTTTTTTCATTGTGCATGGAAGGACTGCACAAAGTAGTTCTAATTATTTGCTCTTTGTAATTTAATCGTTTCATTTATTAGTATGGACGTAAGAAAGGACATCTACGTGCTTTGATTTGATTTTTATAAAATAGTTATGAATTTCTTAAGCCAAATTATTTGCATACCAGCAGCTGTGTGCAACCACTCACGATTTGAACAATTTCCGTTAATATTCTTGATGAAATTCGAAAGAAGTATTTTAGGAAATAACAACCATGCTAATATGTGATGCCTTTTAAGTAGGTCGACCGACTGAGCAGCTAATGTGACGCCATTTTTTCAGGCTTAAAGTCGTATTGATTATTTGCAGCAGGCTTGTGCATTGTAGAGTCACTGGCATCTATTTTCCATCGTCTGGAAATCGTGAAAATCCAATTTGCTGGATATTAATAGATAATTCTCCTTCGTGCTTCGGCGAACGAAATAAACACAACATATGCAAATTCAGAAACAAGCTAAAATTAAATTTATCAGCACATGGCGCGATTTGATGATTGATTTTCATGCCTTAAATTTTCTTCGGAACACAAAATAAAATTCTAATACTAATGCCTGTGTTCGAGCAGGAATGGTATTGTTTAACCTCGGAGCCACAATCAATGGAGTGGTCAAGTCAGGCATCGCCGAGAAAGAAATATACTTGCCACGCGTTCCAAGCTTACTTCAGGAGGCCAAGCTATTCCTTCTGGAGGCTCAACGTATTTTTCAGTTGGAGCCGAAGACGTCGCGGGAGCGTCACTGGCTTTACAGCATCACGAGTGTCTACGATGAAATAGAAGCCATGGAACGAAGCTGCCAGGAGGGCACGGAACACTTAGAATAGAATAGAAGTGTCGGCACTGAAGAAATAGGCCCATGGCCTGTTGCCGATTCTTGTTCATAGAATATAATAGAAGTGTCGGCACTGAAGAAATAGGCCCATGGCCTGTTGCCGATTCTTGAATTTTTCATGACTTGATTCACGAGGGACACTTCCAGCTACCATAATGATTTGGTGCGCGAATTCACTTGACATGATTCATATCAGTATTGAAAAAGCATAGAATTGCATAGCAACATTTGCCGTGAAGAATAGGCCAAGTTTGGCAGTCGCCGATTCTTGTGATTCTTCTTGACCTGTCTTTTGGAGATCAGATCTATCCAACACTGACATTCACGCTAAGTAGCTGTTGAATTAATTCGTCTCTGTCGGCTAGCTTTAGCCTGGCAAAATAAATATGCAGGTGAATTTAGAAATAAATCAGCTTCATCTTTCTTGTTGTGTTCCGTTTGAGAAATTACTTTTGTACCAACTAAAAAGATATATTAACCGTTCAAAGATTCGTGAATTTCATTCGCAAAAATTAAATTCTATAAAGAAGTAGATAATTTACAGTTAATGAAATAAATCATAACAACCCTAATTGATGGAAAAAATTTCAACATTTTCTTCCGGTGTTTTGACTCCTATTCTTTACACCTGGAGAACACAGAAATTAAATGCACCGGTTGTCTAATTAAGCTTTAGTGTTCCTTACATATATCAGCGTGTCAGATATTTAGTTTTCGAATATTAAGGTATAAACTACAACACTTGTATATATTCACTTGTTGTGAACCGAATTAATTGTGCGAGATTCTAATTAACCAATAATTATTGTAAAAACTTTGATAACTTTCAGAATAACGTGTTTAGGCAATTTTGAACAAATTAGCCGTGGCTAGTCTACAAAATCGTTTTTTTCTGAGACTGAACAAGGTTTTCTAATTTGATTGTAGACTTAAGTAGAAGTAAGGGAAAAATATTTGTAATGGATATGAAGTGTTAAAGTCTTAAAATTTCATAATTTATTTTCCCAGTGTAAACTTTTCAAATTTTTTTACACGTTACTGAAAAATTCAAATGAGCGACACCTGCTGACATGCGACATTGGAATTAGCGCATAGGGAAAATCTTTGGTAAACATCTATGGTCTCTCTGCATATTGTCGCACGAACTAAGTTGCACAACTAAAATATAAATTTATTATGCTTCCATAGCAAATTTATATGGGCGAAATAATTCAGGACTTGACTTTAACTATACATGATTCAACCGTCATTTTGTTTGCCTAGAGCCCTGAACGACAGAAAAATTCAGACGTACATTGGTTTTGGACAAATGAAAAGACAAATGTACCATGAATTACAAATTGTACATATCGTTTAACAGGTGACTTGAATGTACCAAAAAGTTCACGTTGATACTCTTTATCTAAAATTAAAATAATAATTCTCTACTATTATTCGCATTCTTTTGCGTTGCTTGGGGTGAAAATTACCAAATTACTCATCCAAATAATATCGTCGAGCTGTGCCAAATACCGGGCCCAACATGCGTAGCTCTGCATGCCTCAGACGTCTCAAGCATCTATTGGCACGCGAGCAGCTACTGAACCTATATTGCTGTTACAGCCGTGAGTGCGAGTGGTTCAGGGTTGCAGTGGAACATCAGTCCGATCACTTCATTGCATGAACTGATATATTGAGTTCAGCTTATTGTTTCAGTTCAGTGGAGGAACAGTTGAGGGTAATATAGCACCTGAAATAAATAAAAACTGCGTGAAAAACAGCTGAACTTTTAAGTCAGTGTAATCCTGATGATTATTTATTCGTCGACGCAGTGTGTGAGGTTGAACAATGGAGACTGTGGAAGCGCCGTACAGAATTGATGTAACGGCTGAGGCTGGCAGGTGAGGTAGAGTTTTTGTAGTATCAAAGTAGCAAGATTGATTATACTGTTGAATATGAATAAAAAAGCAAGGTTTGCATTATTTCACAAAATAGTATGATAAGTAACTTTCAAATTTCAAAACTGCTCGCAGTGCTGCAAAACTATGCCTTCTTAATTCCTTCGAGTTTGTGAATTTTGATAATAACAAGTAAAATCTAATGCTTCATGTGTCCTATAAAATAGTTGTGAAGTTATGTTGCCATCACCTAGCATAGCAAAAATACGTCCAAGGAGATTCAATCTTTGTGTTGTGTTTTATAACAGGAGTCTTGTGTCTACGAGGAACCTCCCTCCAGGCTACCTTCTACTGCAGGAAGGCCCGGCAGTGCTGGGTCCTACGGCTCTCTCGGAACCCGTTTGTTTGGCATGTCACTCCCCCACCAGTTTGTTGTTCCGATGCCCTGGATGTCAATGGCCCATGTGCTCCCAAACTTGTGCTGACCATCCTACTCATGCGGATGAGTGTTCAGTACTAGCGCAGGATACGAAAGGAGTTGGGATTCCTGTGAACACAGACGCAACTCCGAGGTACGACCTCATCCTGATCTTACGGTTCCTCCTTTTGAGGAAAAAAGACCCTGATATGTGGGAAAAATTGATGGCCCTTGAAAGTCATTGGCAGAAACGAAAAGCCGAGAACGAACCGCACCACAGTGCAGCTGTGCAGTATTTTCTGAAGGTATGCCCTATGGAACACGAAGAAAATATTCTGCACAGAGTTCGTGGAGTGATCATGACGAATTGCATTAGCAGTAAAACGCTATCAGGGGTCAGTTTACGGGGACTTTATCCAACCATAAGCCTTCTTAACCATTCATGTAAGCCTTCTGTTTACTTGCGTTCCGATAAAGCAAATCATCTTTTCGTACATTCCACAGTTGAAATATCGGAGGGCGAATCGCTTCTCTTCAGCTACATTGCTACAGGAGATCCTTATTGGAAACGGCAGAGAGAGCTGAGCGATACCTACTATTTCAAGTGCAGATGTGAACGCTGCATTGACCGCACAGAAATGAACATTCATTTTTCGTTCTTGAGGTGTGAAAAGTGTGAAAATGGATATGTTGATCCGTTATTTAACAAGAAAAAATCTTACAAGTGTACAACTTGCAAATATTCCACGCAACAAGCGAAGGTTATGCACACTTGTGTGAGTATTCAAGCTTTATACGGCAAAGCAGACCAGGTCCATGACTGCCGTACTGCCATGCAACTACTGAAGCTTGTGCACAGCAAAAGCCACGGAAACCATTACACTTGGCTCGCGTGTGCCGGGCATGTCATCAAATCACTCGCTCAAAATTCTTCAATTAACGCATTGCGTCTCAAAAAGCAACTTTGGATGAGGATCATTGATATTTACAGCGTAATTGAGCCAGGAATGACAAGGAGACGAGGTGAGTCATTAAATAAAAAATGATCTTCGCCGAGATTGACAACCCTGTGACCGTGGATTTATATCGTTTGCTTGCTGGTGTCCGACACATTTTCAATTGATTTTCCAGTTTTTCTTTCATTCTAAGTTTTGAGTTATCTGTGAACATGTGTTCAATAGTAAACTTTTTATTTGCTAAAGATGATTCTAAAGGAACAAAAAACTGGGATAAAACCTGGAATAGAAATGGGGGTCTCGAAATTATAATTGCTTGTCCCGCACAGGAATATCCCTGCTGCACCTCGGCGCGGTGTCTCTACAGTTGGCTATGTTGGACTGCAACGTCGGGCGCATCTCGCGGCCTGTGATGCTCAGACAACTGGCGGCGTGTCGCGGGACGCTGGACGAGGCGCGCGCCATATTACGTTTAGAACCGCCTGATACTACTGAAGAAAAGTGGATTATGATGGAGGAAAAGGAGCGAAGGAGACTAGATGAGATCATGGAACAAACGCAAGAACTCATTGATGAAGAGTATGGTACAGCACAAATGAGAAGGAGTGAAGAAGATAATCTTTCACTCGAAATTGGAGATTTTGAAGATACTTCTGTTAAAAAAGTAGACGAATATGAAGAGTCGTGCACTCGATGAGCCCATACTAACAGGAAATTGCGTATGGTTTTGTTTCAGAAGATAATTTCTGTATTATACGCCGATAAATTATATTTATTACTATTGACAGAAGTATTATCAGTATTCTGGCTGATAAGGATGAGTGTTCTGTTCAATTTGAGTCAAGAATATCTTATCTTAAAGTGGATATAAAATTACCGCCTCAGGGCTGGGCACAGCGGCTCATTGTGTGCAAACAATGTTGACTTATCACGAGATTTTTTAACCTAAACTCATTTATACAAGTTTTATTTATAGCAATTCAGGACCTGCAGATTGGGCGCCAATTTAAGCAAGCATTCTTTAGGAAAATTTAAAGGATTTAATTGGATTTAAAATGTTTGGAACCATATTGTCAGTGCGTCTTAAAAAAGTCGCGTGATTGTTTCGACCATAGTTTCATCCATGGTCTCGACACAGAAATTTGGTTAAATTTCAATTTGAATGGAATTTTCAAATACATTTCAGTGGATACAACGCTTCAAATAATTGTATTATAGTTTCGGTTGCGATAAAATTCATGCAGCCTCATAAAGTTGAAAATTCATTTAAAGATGGCCAGTTACATTTTCTCGTAGGGTAACGTGGGGCAGCGCGCCCCCCACTTTTTTTAAACTAAATTTTTGATGAAGTTTTAATTGATACGAGGTGGTTCTTTGTTTTGTTTAAAGGTGCAACTAATGAGGAATGTATGATGTGAATTAGACGCCTATAGAGTTATTAAATTTTTAATGAAACACTATTTTGTAAAAAGTGTCAAAATGCAATGGGCCCATGGGCTTGGGGCAAGGCGCCCACCCTTGGTCCCTTTACCACAATTGCATATTTTTCGTTTAAAAATGATAAAACAACACTCTACAGTTAAAAATAAGAAAAATGTAATAAAAAATATGACATTCATTCATTTATTAAAAAGAACTTAATAACGCAAACACTTAGCAAAACGTAAATCCGTACACTTCATCCCAGTGAAACTGTCGACCGGCGGTAGAGAACACGGACCAATATCTGCCATACTTAGCGAGAAACCCGCTATGGGCCCGTGACCCGCAGTGGGCTCGCTGCCCCATGTTACCCTACATTGCAGGAGCTCAACGCACATTCAATTCGGGTTTCTCGCTAGCAACTTTATTAGGAAATTATTGCAGATGGTCGGCATCCTTGAGTTGTACTCTTGTACTTAACTTTATCATATAATATTATCCAAAAAGCGTTACATATTTGCCGTTCTAACCTGGCTCCGCATGACTCACACAAGGAAAAAAGTTAAGTGCTATTTAAACAAAGTCTCACTCATTTCTTTGAGTGTACTCAGTGCAACCTTTGGATGCAAACGGTCATTGTGTGCCTATGGAGTGACAGACCCGGAGAGCTGACTCACTCTCACCTGGACGTTGTGCAAACGCATGCTGAGCCTCACAGGAAACGCTGGAGCATACAACCCAGAGGAGAGTAAATAATTGTAAAAATTACGACATTTCAATATGATTAACGAGGAACTTATTTTATTCATGGCAGCTTCGTCGAGGAAATATGCCTTAATTAACCGTACGATTACGTTGAGGTCGCATCAAATAGCTCATTCTCCTCCCACTTGATCAATGAGCCTCAGAATCAACGCGATCATTGATACAATTTACCACTAACTCTACTTTCAACATCTTCTCATCCAGAAATCTTGGAAATTATGGAAATTAAATGTCAGAAATAAACGGATAACCAAATATTTCTTTAGGATCTTCCTAAAAAATACAAATTTACATTATAAATTTGCAGCCAGGGAACGGCAGTTCCGTTTAGCGCACCCGGAACAGTGACTGGCGTTATTGCTGCCATGTTCTTGAATCTGTTATAGTTTCAAATGTCAACACCAAAATAACGGAAACATACATCGACCCTGAAACATTCTTTTTTTCTTTATGAATGTTGCTTAAATGGCATTCGAAATCCATCATTCTCGAGTCGAGTCAAATACCCAATCGAGTCAACCCAATCGCTAATAGCGCTCAAGATCTAGAAAGACCAACATGAAACTTATTTCTCTGAACAGCAATGAAGGATTGACGTTGAAGGTATAGAATTTATTGTAAAATTGAAGTATCTGCGAAGTATCTGCTCGAAGTATCTGCGTAATCAGAACAAAGAGCGCCAGCACGAAACTAATTTAGCATGCAATTCTCTACCCACAGAAGTTTCTAGCTTCGTACGCAGGATATGCCAAGTCACCCAAGCCAGCGTGGCTCCCAATTGCAGAGGAATTTTCTCCCATGCCCATACATGCCAGAATAAACACGAGTCTGCAGAGGCTGGAGCAAACACTCATGAGTCGCACCTTTTAAAAATTGAAAAGCCTGAGAACATGGGTCGGTAGAACACGCCGTCGTATGTACATAAAAAATTCAATATGCGTTATTTAAATTGATTTGATATATCTATATACATAGTTACGATTTAATTTTACGAAATTTCATTATATATTGCATAAAGAAAAATGTTGAATCGGAAATTTTTATCGAGCGAGAGCTTACTCGGTTTCTTCAACTTGAAACACTCGAAAACGTATTCGGTTGAATATATTCATCCGTTTAATATGTCACCGTATTAAAAAAATAGGTTGATACACAGTAAATACATTCTGTATTCTGTAAATACATTTACAAAATTTAATACCTGTGCACAGAAAATAAATGAGTAATTTATACATTGTACTTACTTTCAATGAATTGCGCGTTGCTGGGCTGGAAATTTCGCACCTCCTTGGTGCATTCCCTGGCCATCATCGGGTCCAGGACGGCCGCCCGCACCACGTGCGTGGCGTTGATCATGAGCTCCGTGGTTTCCATCACCGGGTTGTAGGTGTAGTGGGGAATGAACGATGAACTAGTATCTCCCGCCATGTTCATAGATCCGAATTTAGAAAACTTCTTAGAGCTATAAAATTGATTTCACTGGTATGTCTAGGCGTCAAGGATAGGCTTATTACATCTCAGGTTTTCACACATCAAACTTGTTGCAGGTTTCAAGAATTTATTCATGACGGTGAGTTGAAAGTACGAACAGTTTTTTTGAACACCTCGTACTGAATTTAGGGCTTTACTAAACTAAACTCATTAATCAACACTTTTTGAAGAGGAATTGTTCCTAGAAATTTAAATTCGCCAAAGTAAAAATACTAATCAAATAGATCTGACAACTGCACTCGGAAATAAATTTCGGTCGCTAGAATGTCTACCTTATCGGAGACAATTTTTCCGTAAAATTTAAACTCTATACTGTTAAAATTCTAAATCAGAAAGAAATTATCTCGTTAGTATTCCTTCAACTCCCATACAACACCAACGATTGAAATAAAGTCGACTTGGTAGCGGTCGCGGTCCAGGCGCTATTGGCATGCAGCTACGGCGAACGCCTTTTATTATGTAGACGCTTATCAAAATTTACAACGAGACTCAGAGCCACCGCACCTAATTCCTCACCATTTATTGCTTTACGATGAGCAACTCCGGAAACTCATAATGATAAGCATAAAAAGTGCAAGCTAACGGTAATCGTTTCATATTATATATCATTACATGCTGTATTGAAATATTCGTAAATCATGACAGACTTCAGCAATGAAATTAATAAACAAATTTACAGCGCATTTTTATGGCTTGCGTCGATTTAATATCGTTAGGGCTACGGTGCGGTGCACGGAAGTTATTGGCATGGATAAAAATTCAAATCGCATTAAATCTATTATACAGATTACAATGTTATATCCAAACCTTTTATTGCGTTTAGTCAGATGGCAACATAAATACGAGGCGGATACAATCGTAAAAAATACTAAATTAAATTTCTAGTTATTGAAAAGAAAATAAGTTTAAAAATGATTCGATTTGGATTATTTCAGTCTCCAGTGACAGACCACGACATCGTCGGTGCTGTCCAATAACGTGCACTCAAATTATACAGAGAGAAATATTATTTTTAAATGTATATTTCCAAATATTCTATTGAAAAGCCCAGAAGGCATATAGCACGACGAATCCTTATAGAGATATACTGTAGCACGAGCAAGCTTAGTATGGGATAAAGTAAAGCCAAGTGATACTTGAGTTCCTTACATCGAACCTGTCCTTGGTTCTGTCATAGACAAGCAAAGCTAGCGAGAACTCGGCCATCTCGTGTGGCAACAGCCCCACACATGGGCTAGATCACAGCGGCCGCCTCAGCAACGACCAACATGTATGTATGAACTGCATGGTGTACACTAGGAAATCTAAGGCAAATAAAATGAATATAAGGCATATGAATATTGACAACACATAAGAATACAGATTATATTGACTCTTACAGCAAGTCTATAAGTCTATTTCTATTTACGACAATGCGCTGCTTCACAACTTCAACGAGGCAAACTGATTAATTGTACCGCACTTGAAAGTCTTCTATTATTCGCGTACCAACAGTGCCAGAGACGTCAGATTGAAATGCATGTATCTAATGTAAACAAACTATTTGCATAAAACTTCTCGGTAGCTTAAATATGGCACAAGCCTTTTAATGATTGCGACAAATATTAAACGCAGTATCAATGAATGGATTCAAGGTTGTTACCTTCAAACAATAAAACTATTCACAACTTCTTTTCGCGTTGATAAAGAACCTCAATTTAATAAATTCACCATTCCTAAAACTTGAAAAACAATCAGCTAAAAAAAAATCAGCAATTAGGATGCTGCACCATGCTAAATAATTCAACGTAAATTGAAGATATAACTGATACATAGAAGTTTCAGTTTAGCGAAGGACTAATATGTTGCGAATTTTATTTTTATATAGCGAAGGACTAACATACTTCGTTATATTCATGACAAACAATTAATTGTTTCAAGTAATCGTATTAGTTATGTTATTTTCTTAAAAAAGGAACAATTTCTAAAACTGACTTTGTTATTTTCCGAAAAAAAAATGATTTTTTAGCTTCTACAAATATTTCAGGAATGTCGAGTAATGGTCGAGCTAATTTAAACTGCATGAAATGAGCGACAACTTTATCGCTTAATGAGGAGATAACGATGCTGTTATCACTGAATTAAAATTTATTAACGAACGATAAATATGAGCGACCGAGTCCCATGCATCCTCGGAAGTGTGAATTATGTGAATGCTGACTTATTCATTAAAAGTTTCATTCATTAAAGTACAAGAAAGAAATTTTGTGAAATTGAAGTGACTTTATTCCAATTTGCGAAGTGAAAATAAATAATGTTAGAAAAAAGAATGTTGATCATTGTTAAATTTTATCTAAATTCCTTTCATGCATCATTAATTCACCCTGAAGGGCTTGCAGCCAAGGTTTAAACTTCCATGGAGACTATAGTATAGAGCTTTAAGCCCCAATATGATTTGCAACCAAAGTGTTAAGCCCTCAGAGTGACTTGCTATCATTGCTCTCTGCTCTCAGTATAACTGTGCAGCTGGAGCTTTCAGGTCTATGGCTAGCTTGCAACCAAAGCTCCAGGCTTTGCAACCTAAGCTCCAGACCTCTATAAGGTGGCTTGCAACCAAAGCTCCAGGCTTTGCAACCTAAGCTCCAGACCTCTATAAGGTGGCTTGCAACCAAAGCTTCAGGCTTTGCAACCTAAGCTCCAGACCTCTATAAGGTGGCTTGCAACCAAAGTTGTTCATCCTCAGAGTGATATGCAACTGTAGCATCAAGTCCTCAAGGTCACTTACGGCCAAAGCTTTCAGCCTTCAGGATGACTTGCGACCGAAGTGTTAGGCATGAATGTGTACATGCAAGAAACGAATCTCAATTAGCTTGATCGGCAGCATAAGTTCATGACTCAAACACTTATTGGCTGTGAATTGAACTGAATGAGATGATCATATAACACTGCATAATAACAAGCCTAAGGCGCAATAGAATAATATACTAATAATATATAATAAGCTCAACCAACTTCGACTGACCTATAAATTTTGTGAGCTATTGAAAAATTTTTGAGCCATAATTAGTTACGAAATATTTACAAGGTAGATGACACCGAAATTTTTTTGTTCCAAATTAGCCCCCAATGTTGATTAATTACAATTTTGACGAACATGAAACTCATGTAAGAGCTAAAAGCTTTTGAATGAATAAGAGGCAAATCATATTCTCATAGTGGAAAATTAAAGGTTCTGGTCATGTGAGCATTGTGCCATGAAAATATATAATAAATAAATGATTCAACGGCAGCAAAATACAAATAACTTTTCATAACGAAAATACCATGCCGTGTTTCGATAAAATGACATGGCAATTGAGGAATAAAGAATTTTATGCTACTTATTATCAACTTTTAATTTTGTTATTTAAACGCTAGTTAAGGTACATCTTTCTGTAAATAAACACTTTTTTCAACACATGTGCAACTCTATTTCCTTGCTAGCAGGAAAGCTTATCGACGTTTGCAAACAGCTCCTTATCACGTCGTTATTAGAACAGCATTGTGTGCGTGGCTGCAGATAAGCGTCAGCTCATGTATACGGCAAGTGATAATAAGTTGAATGGAAAACAAGGCTACGCACCTGCACTTGCGCTTAATTCATTACGAATTCTAGTTTATAGATCGACTGTTTAGGCATACGTATTACGTACATATGCTATTGAGTTTGGGCTTAAAAAAAGTAAAATCTCGTTCTAAACTTTGAAAACCGCTAGTTTTATCGATGTGCAGGATTGCCTTAAAAAATCCCTGAAGGTTTTTTCCCGAAGCTAATTTCATTTCCCAGAGGGAGCAAAATTTAAATTATTTAATACTAAATGCTCATTCTTGAAAACCTATTCAAATTAATAATTGCGAAACAACTTTTGCGTGGTTGTCCGTCAAGAAATGGTCCTTTAATTTTTTGTACAAGCTGCTATCGAATTTAACAAATTATTGCTAATAAAAACTACGACACTCAAACGTAGCTATAAAATCATCAGATGAAGGTGATAAGTCACTTATCATCGCGTCTTGCCATCAAAGGAATAGTGAACATTTTATAACACCAATAAAGTTACTTGAATAACCTTGCAGCGTATACTCAAAGTTAACTGCTCTACATTTCAGCACGGCTGAAAGAATGAAACATGTCTCTTCTTATTTTGAGGGAACTTTTGAACCAATGTGCGCTACAGAGACACTGGCCACAGAAACGCACTATCACCACCATCCCCCGACAACTGCTCGTGAGACACTGCAAGGAGAGGTCACGACGCCGAGTGTATCTTCTCAATTGTACGTAAAATTTGGCTGTCGCTCCTCATAATTTTACACGAGACTCATGCCCAGGCAACAGCAGAGAGTACGTTCTATTTTCTCGAATGACTTTCCGTGTTTGAAATTTCTTCTACCTGCTTCTTAATGTATGAGAATGTCATATCACATGTTCTGGAAGAAGTGCCACAAAATATTCTTACATTAATGATAATACTTGAAAACTGATTGTCTTCTACCTCGAAGAAATTGAAAAAAATTTGAATGAGTTAATTACTTACATAGGTGCGACAGTGAGAAAAATTATGGAGGGAGAGAATGAGCGAAGATAAAACAATTAATTACCATACATCAGAATTGTTTTGCACAAGAAATCAAAAGAATTATTTATACAGAATGAAATCCGATAGAAGTATTGCATCAAAAGCGAACAACACGCTCTCTCATTAACTCTGCAGCAAATATCATTAAGGGGCCAGCTTATGCACCAGCACTTAATTATACATAAAAAGGCTCACAAACAGGCACAGGTGTGCACAACAGTGCTGGCTTGCGTGCTCAGGTGATATGCAAGCTGATCGTGTCCTGCTTAGGACCGGTGCTTCCCACATGGCGGTAAAATAACTTTCTTGGTTTTAGCGCAAGTGAATAAATTAAAAATTGTATGCATGATCACGCCTCTCTGTAGGTAACAGGGTACGAACTTTGAAATAATTGAAGGGGATGCTCTAGCAAGCATCCTTTCCACTCCCAGGTAAATGATCCTCATTACCACGTTTTTCTTGACTTCGTTTCGTGTCTGTCTGTCATCAAAAATTCAGACCTTAATTTAGAACTCTTCTGAACATCTTAGAAACTTCAAATTTGTCATGCATGCTTATGCTGCTTAACAATTCAAGATTTGATCATCAGAAATAATAATAAAAAAAAATTTTTAACAAAAAAAAAATATTAAAAAAACACGAAAAATTCACAGTTGGAATTGAGTTTTTTCTCGAACATCCACACTTGCCAACCCTGGAAATTGATATCAATCGCTAAAATTGCTAACTAAAAAGTAAAAAATAAATAAATATAAAAAATGTTTTTAAAAACCACGTTTTTCTGGTTTTTACAAAACTAAAAATAGTGAAATAAAACAAAAAAAACTTTTAAAACCACGTTTTCTTAACGGACAAAAAAGAAAAACATTTACTCTTACATAACATTATATAACATTTTACATAACTTAAATGTTATGTAAGAATAAATGTTTTTCTATTTGTCCGTTGAGAAAACGTGGTTTTTAAAAGTTTTTTTATTTGTTTTATTTTCCTAGGTAAATGATCCACTCCCAGGTAAATGATCCCAGGTAAATGATCCTAATGATCGATCAGTTCTTATCCCTAGGCGAATTTTTCTTACTGTTTGCACGCCGCACTAAAATATTCGCATGGAAAAAGGTGAACAATTAAATTTTGAAATATTGTCAATGCAATTATTTAGCTGAATTATTTGTACGAAATATGATTAACTTTGTTCGATAAATAAAAACAATAAAATATAAACATGTAATAGTGTTACATTGCATGAAGAAATTTATAAAAAATAGATAAAATTAGGTTACATAGTTAATTAAAAATATCGACATTTAAAATAAAAAAATTCGCAGTTCATTTAGTAAATAATAACATTGACTTAGTCTTGAGATTTTAATTTTGTTGAAATCGATCAAATGAAATATATCAACGGGTGGATTCAACGTACTACACTGTACAAATATAATGGAATTTGTTTAATCAAATGGATTTTTTAAAATCGTATAGCAAAATATGGATATATGTATTAAATTGAAATCAGTTAATAATATCGTAGTATGGTTAGCGGTTTAGTCAATGATAGGAAACCTCGAAAATTAGGCCTTCTTCAGTAAGTGGCTGAGTTTTAGAAGGTGCATGACTTGTTTCCAGCAGGCCTAAAAGGTTCTCTATTGGTCAAATCTATCTGAAACTGACTGGAAAATCTACTGTTTTTTTTAGCAGCTATAAATGGTCTAAAATAGATTTCATTTGTCGTTCGTATCCATGACTGTGGACGGCGATTGCTTTCCTTGATTTTGTTAAGTGATTGTTGACAAAAATACACTATGACAGTTAGGGCAAATTCTGCTCTTTTAGGATTGTTTCTAATTGGCCATGTGTTGTCTACACATAACAATGGTGAGTCTATATAAAGCTGACAAAATTGCATTCAGTACTGGTAGAAAACGTTAGGCATGGATTTTAATTTCTATTGCCTTATACTAATTGCATGTTATTCTACTTCTTAAGATCCAACTGTATTCAAATCCATCGAGACTATAGACAATTTTGAAGACCTCGTCTTTTACTAGCAAATATTGTTAAAAATTAGTGTTTTTCCAGGTACCTGAGACGCGTTAAAATAATTCTATTCCATATCTGTTGGTTTCACCGGTAACAGGAATAGTTTCGATATCACCCCCATCAAAAAATGTCATAAATTTCTGTAACGCAAGGGTCTCTTAGTTTAAGCTTCGCGCTATTTCGCAGCGTATCGCAATTCAGCCTAAATTGGCGGAAGAATGTTCTTGGATCTTAGATAAAGACAACCATTATTACAAATAGTTCCATGTATTAAGATTTTCAAGGCAATTCGTTTCTCTTTCGGAAGTTGGCTGTATGAAAAATATTGGAAAAATTAAATGCATTGTGCAGATACTTCTTATGAATAGGAATATTTACCATGTCATCCTGACTTTTATTTATCTTCTGGGAATTCGAGAGCAGCGAAGTGAATGCCACATTAGGACTGGTTAGGTGTCACGAAAAATTAAAAATGCCAACGAGACGGCATGTCTTTCTTCCATAGCATTGGGGTTAGATGAATCCATGCCCTATTTTAAGTGTAATTATGACCCGTAAATTCGAAGCGTCGTTTGCATTCGAACATTCATATCTTAATCCTTCAAGGATAAACTTTGTTTGATGTATTTTAAAGTCGGAAATAAGGAATATGTAAGACACTCAGGATCACACACATGCCCGTATATATACATAGATAGTAATATTATTCATCGGTGTTACGAAGCTCATTATGTGTTGGATTTCAATTCATGTCATCCTCACGCATAAGTATTAAATATTATGTACAATATTTCAGGTAAGTTGTTGCGTACAAACAAAAACTATCACGCAACGCCGGCCGAGTTTCACGAGATGATTGACTTCATCCTTCGTTCCATCAACAATCACGGCAATCTTCAAGATCTTCGTAAGTTCGACTAACATTCAACTAATCAATTCAACTAATTCATACTAAACCTAATACCTGTAACTATTTACTTAGTAAGTTCCTACTCTTGGGATTTTCAAAGGAGTGTTGTATGCATTTTCCTCCTCAATAGTTAACAGAATATCTATTTTCGTATTATTTTTTTTATGTTTTATTTTTTTGACAATGGATGAGGTCTTATATCAATTACGATCAACATTGGAAATTATTGGGATGAATACCGGACACGACATATATCGCATTTCCCAATTTTCTTCCCGTTTTTAGTTGTGAACAACACTGATTAAATAGGCTAACTTTCGTGATGTAGAACCGTTGAAAATAGCCACGTAGCTATTCTTAGAAGTCTTTTTTTCTTCAATAGAAATTAAGCACTAAATTGATGTTTATAAATTGATGTTAATTACATTTTCCAATGAGAACAGCAAGCGGTTCACTTACCTAGAATTCTGTTTTTTTTTTTCATGTATAGTAAAGAAGTCTTCGTCCTTCACAACTAGCGTCATGTACTGCCCATTCATGATGTACCTATGTAAGTAATGGATTTATAATAAGTATTTGAGTGATTAATGAATTATTTATTACATTATTTATTTTTTCATCATTAGAATTACAGGAATACTATTATGTGCAAGGCGTAGAATTCTTATCAAATCGAGCTGCTTTCCGTTTGAAATTCGCACAGATACGAGTATATATCTATAAATTCACAAGCTTCATTATAATATTGAGTAAAAATGTTCATCCTGGTTAGGTTTAACACTTTTATTGAGAGACTTAACGTATTTTGGACAGGTGCATTTTTTATGACATCTTATTCCTCATCTTACTGCCACAGATGAGCAACTGCGATCAAATCCGAAATTTCCAAGCCGAAACCCGATAATGGCCATCATTCGTGAGTTTCCCTTACACGTTTCTTTACCTTGTGTTCTGTGTTATTAGCGGATCGAGACGCATTTATCTAATGTTACATAATTATGTAATCTCAACGTTGTTAACAATTAAATTGCTATTTATTCAACAATACATGTCAAAATTGTTATGTATGATTGTAATACTGCTAATATGTCGTGATTTTTTACTTTAAATTTAACATCAACATTTCTTTTTAACCTCAGGTAACTTCTTTGATGATTTTGATCAAGAGAAGTGTCCCTTCATGAGGAGTTTGCGTGAGTATTTGCCACCCTATCCTTCTCTTGTAATGTCAACCATAATAATGAACTATCGTCGGTTTAATCACTATATAGGTATAAAAGCCTTTTATGTACTTTTGTATTAATGGTTGATAAACGGGATTTCTTCATTAAAATTATGTTGTAGATAATGCTCGTCGAAGGCATCTGGATTCATGACTATCGTTAATTGTATAAACTTTTAAAAACTCGAGTGTGAACATATTTCAACGGAGGGCTTATTAAATTGATTTGCGATCACGCACCTACGCAGGCCTACAGTTTATAAACAGCATACACCATGACGTCTAAGAATTTACGGGTGCGCACTGTTTAATCCTATTTTTTTTTGCATGAATCTCATTTACAGAGCCTAATATTTTCGCGGGCACTTACAAAACACTGCTGAAATCAAAGGTGACGGGGAGTAAGTTAAAGCTTTGTAAATTAATATTGGAACATGTATACTGAATCTATTTTATACGAAAGATTTTATGCGAATAACGAATTTAGATGAAGATTTGAGCGAAAATGAAGTAATTCGAGTGTTTGAACCATATGGATTCATATGAAAATTAGTTTAAGTTAATTAGCTTAGGTTGATAAGTTTATCTGATGAATATACTGGCAACTGTGATTATTTAAAATTAATTTTCTTTCACGATAGACATCTTGTTTCAATGCTAGTAAATGTTAGATTAAAGCTGATATATTTTTCAATTCCCTGATAAATGTGATATACGAACTGACTTGATTACGTTTCAGTGCATGGGCTTGTGAATAAGATCTTCGAGGACGTCGAAGACGAATTTTTTAATCTAAGGAGTAAAAATCATGCAGGAGGTGAGAAATGATTGTCCTCCAATGCTGTTGAAGTCCATTGCCATAGATGATGCCTAATTGTTAATGTATGCTGAGAATCGAAATTGATTTTGAATGTAGGAGCATAATTTCAAAATTGATGAAATAAATCATTAAAATATAATATTCAATAATTTACTTGAAATCTTGTTCGATAGAAGCAATCTACAAACGCAGCGTTCCTGAAGAGTTGCTGGAGGAGCTAAGTGAGTCTTTGTTTATAATAGGATATATTGTATATACATAATTATAAACTCGTTCTAACGGTTCCAATTCAACTGAATGTTATATTACTGTATTTAGCATAATATCATTGCAAAAGCAGCTTTAGAAGCGTGCCATGGTGATTGCGTGATTCATTCGGTTCTTCAAGCCAACAATTGAATTAGCTAAAAATTTGAATTAGAGGAAAATTTTGTATCATTCCTCATATTCCTCATGCCATATTTTGTATCATTCAACTTTCTGACCGTATTTACCAACTTCACGATAATGTCCAACATAATCCCTTGTTTTCGGTATCAGTAGATCAGGTTTTTAATCTCCAGTTCATGTCTAATTGTATCCTACGCTTAATAATTTATGCTGCTCTTGTGTCGAGCCATAGGTTCACCGGTAACGCAGAAGCCCGTCTCTGAGCTGGACGTGGTCGTCGATGCGAAGAATTTGGTTGCATTCGTGCACCATGATGACGACGAACTGCACCACGAAATACCGACGCAGGAAGAGGACGAATTAGAAGAGGAAGACGAGGAAGGATATAGTTACTCAGATTTCGACAGTGAGTTTGAGAGAAGCGAAGATTCATATTATTTATTTAACTTGCTTACTATCCTCCACAGGGTGTTGATCAAGACGAAGCTTACATCTAGCTTAGTTATCACTCAACCAAATACACTACTGCAATTACGCAGGAATGAGCTTCAAAGCAAAAAATAGATAATATTTCCAACATTGACATGTAAAGCACGAAAATTGAAAGGACAATATTTGTTTCTTCGGGATTTTGTAGACTATCCATCGTATGGTAATGTTGTCTTTTTTCGTCAGATAAGAGAAGACCGCTTGTGCTCGAAGCTCGTAACAATAACAAGATACGTGAGTGTCTTAAAAAGGAGTGTACAACGTGGAAAAAATATTTAATCATTCGTAACTCGTATAAACGGATTTCCAGTCAACTAGCATAAATGTGATTCTCGAATTCGTCATACTTTAGAACTAAGCCAAAGGTCTTAGCTTGTAAGATTTACGTTAAATATCTGCTATTAGAGTCGTATGTTGATGACGTAATGAGTGCTTTTCTTTTCAGTTGTAGCGATTTACTTGTTCGGCCACTTCATCCTCTTGTTCCTCTTGATTGTCGCCTGGTCCTATTGGCAGTCCTGCCTGAGGGAGGACGACAATGACCAGGTATTATCCTATACTTCGTTAATGTTGTAAATTTCATTAAAATTTGCCATATCCTTCATTAATGTTGTAAATTTGTCATACATACTTCGTTAATGTTGTCAATTTATCATATACTTCGCTAATGTTGCAAATTTATCCTATAGTTCGCTAATGTTGTAAATTTTTCCATACTTCGTTGATGTTTCAATTTTTAGGCTATATTTACTCTGAAATTTAATGAAAAACCTGTCCAATAATGCATTTATCTTCTCCGCTTTCGCTTTTGAATAAGCATTTTGGTTCAGATTGAAATGTTTTCAAACGAATGTTGTAATTGGCTTATTTTAAATCTTTACTTTAAATGTTTTTAAACAAATTGTTTGCTTTACGCAAAAAGAAGTAATAAATTTGTTTCCTTATCGAAAATGGTAATTTGTTAATATTTTGATGCCATTTTTAACGGTTAATTTAAAAATTCGAGAGAAATTATTTAAATTACGCTGCGTCTAAAATTATTTAATTTTCATGTCGCCTACAGGAAGAAGCAGCGGACGGCGATCGGATCAGGAGGGCCAATCGGGAGCCACATGCGCCGGAGGAGGGGGAGGCCTTACTCAACGTTCTGGTTGCTGGTGCTGGTGCTGATGCTGATGATGGTCCTGGTGATGGTGCTGGTGATGGTGCTGGTGCTGATTATGGTCCTGATGATGGTGCCGGTGCTTATGATGGTGCTGATGATGGTGAAGATGCTGCTGGTGCCTGTGCTGGTGCTGATGATGGAGCTGGTGCCGGTGTTGGTGTTGGTGCTGATGATGGAGCTGGTGCCGGTGCTGGTGCTGATGATGGAGCTGGTGCTGGTGCTGACGTTGGCGCTGTTGACAATGCTTTTTTAGGTGCCGTTGGTGTCGCTCGAATTCGTGGTGGCCAAGCTTCCGGTATTCGTGTTCGTGGTGGCCAAGCTTCCGGTATTCGTGTTCGTGGTGTGCATGATCACGGTTCACATGGTCGTGGTGCACATGGTCGTGGTGCACATGGTCGTGGTGCACATGGTCGTGGTGCACATGGTCGTGGTGCACATGGTCGTGGTGCACATGGTCGTATTACTCGTAGTCGTGACGCAATTGGTCGTGATGCCATTGGTCTCAGTGCGCTCGGCCGTGATGTGCTAGGCTCCGCTGCTATAGGCGGCGAGGCCCTTGAAGATAGAGTGGAAATTGCTGAGGAGCAGTTATAATCAATAATATTGTTCGCAAACTTGTAATAAAATGTTCTTTTTAGCAAATATATACTCCCAACTTGGGATTTTCTGCGACCTGATTTGTTTTTGATTGTAAGAACGCTGCGAATCTAATAGAAAATAGCGATATCAATAAATCACGCTTCCACTCAGCGAAAACTCAAAATTGTCAATAGAAGTATTGCTATGTATGATCTATGATCATGCATATCAATGTGATCATTTATAAATCAGGTACTGCATGATTTCCCAATAATCTGAATTTTATTTCTATGACTATTATTATCCCGACGAACTATTTTCATCGGGATGCAGTGTACACTAAAGAGACGCTGTCATGTGTGGTCTCCGAAAGCTTTTCTCTTCAGAGGAATTCAGGCGGAAGATCTGCGAATTTTTAATTTGTATTCGGCCAAACCCTGGACGGCCGAAGCCCTAGCTGGCTTCTGAGCCACATAATAAGAAAACTGCAGTTCGGCCGGAAATAAATGCACTATGTTAACTGAAACGCGTGTAGTTAGTCAAATTTTTAGAAAATGAGTGAACTCTGTTGACTTTCAATAATTAATTAGGAGGGTCTTCAAGAAAATTTGGCATTACAAAAATTTTATATGTTTTGCGTATCCTAATATATTAAATTTATTTAATTAGCATAAGATAGAACTTATAGGTATAAAAATTTACTATTAATCAGAAATTATCACGGTCACTGAAAACATTCCTTTTGATTTGAAATAAACACACGACTTCAAGCGAAATTTTTAATTATGTTAAGAAATACCTCGAAGCCTTTATTTTCTCCTTCTATGCAGTCTGTTTCCTGCATGGCGTGGAGCATGGCTTGAACTCGGGTAAAGAAACTCGTCAGTGTAACCTAGGCAACAATCTAAGCTACGTGGTTAAGGTTAAGCGTACCTAGCGCAACAATTTATTTACTTATTTTTTAACTTCTTGAAGCTCCGAAGTATCTTAAAACACCAATCGGTTCACAGAGAAAAGTTTTCTGCTACCTTCTATTCTCCTGTAATTAATCCGTATAATTTAGTTCGACGTATTCTATTTGAAGGGGATAAGTCGCAATAGTTCGAGGTATTCAGTTTGAAGGGGATAAGTCGCAATAGTTCGACGTATTCAATTTGAAGGGGATAAGTCGCAATAGTTCGACGTATTCAATTTGAAGGGGATAAGTCGCAATAGTTCGACGTATTCTATTTGAAGGGGATAAGTCGCAATAGTTTGACGTATTCTATTTGAAGGGGATAAGTCTCAATAGTTCGACGTATTCAATTTGAAGGCGATGAGCCTCAATAAGAATCCAATCTACTCCTCACTTATAGAATCAAACGATATTTGCCAGATCACTCAAGACGTGAGACGTTGCACAGATTCATTATTTTGATAGTAAATTGTTGAATTTATTTATAATCTCTAACAATTCACTAAAGTGAAGATTAACTGCTTCAAGTATATTCCTGCTCAATCTACTAAAGAAAAGAGCAAATTGAGAGAAAAACAATCATAAATAAATGTAGCCATGCACACTTATTCCGTCGGTGGAGCGGACATCCTGGACGTTGCGTCAGAAGTAATTTCGTCACAGCATAGGCGGCATAATGTGAAGTGTAATGTGTTGATAGGTTGTGCGCTTTTTCTCACGGTACTGGGGCAACTGTGATGTCATCTTCTGTTCATACCATGGCTGAAGTGGTGATGAACGCTCGTGGAATTACGTGTGGCGGATGAGTGGCTCTTAAAAAAAATCTTTCTGTGAGATGGAATCGGTCCGCCTGCATACATCCTCACGACGTCAGCCGGTTAAGTGGTCATAGAAGCTTATATGCACTTATACGTATATTGTATTGTTTGGAGAATTTAAAAACAAATAATACACGGAAAGATTTATAATTATTTCGAGTTGACAAGTAGTATTCATTCCATTCGCTCACATTAGGTCATAATGTTTCTAAACTTTGCATGTACGAAACTGAACTTTTTGGGATTCACTGCTTCTAATTTCCAGGAATATATTGTTACTAATGAAATGTTCAGTTATCACGTTTTATAGCGAATTAAGTTGTCCAGAATGGCGCTTTATCACTAACCTTGCCAAGCGTTTACTTCAACAGAAATAAATTCCTGTTCGTGATAAGGCGCAATTTGGCGAACGATAATTCACTTGCCGGTACGTCTATATAGTTACTATAGTAGGAGATGTGCGCGGGGACTAAATAGTTGGGCAAGAAAGTCTTGCCATTAATGCCATTATAGCAATTAATGTTGGTGAAGATGACTTCATGCATAGTATGTTGTGATATAAAATAGATGTGAGCTAAATTAAAGCTTCTAATGGACGTTTATTGACAATCGATGTTCAAGATGTTAATCTTTGTTCGTAGGGATCAAGAACGGGTACATAATAATTCTACCCCATTAGACTACTGAATTTACATATAGACTGACTTCATTCAAGAGAAATATTCAATGAAATTGATACTTATTTAAACTACTGCTTTGGGATGGTGTGCATGGGCAACTGACATTAAAAACCGATTAATATTAGAGTGCTGAAAATAGACAACCTGTATGCTGCGAAGACCAAGCATACGGCTTAGTTTCCGCTGGTGGAGGCGACAGCAGATTACCAAATTGTCCTCCTTGTAGGCCTTTATCCGCAAGTCCGACTTGCATCCTGTTATCTTGGTTCAGACTAATTGGCTATAAATTAAAGACAATTTCTCCTTAATAAATGATCGGGACATTTCATTGGACCAATGCACTACAATAGCAGCTTCTTCGCTAATATACCTTTGACTAGTATTTCTTCGAAACTTCTGAGTAATCTTAAAGCCTACAAACTTGATAAATCGCATTTAAATTCACCTAAGATGCACAATTCTATCACTCATGGAAAACATCTCGAAACGTGCAGGAATTCTGTAATAATGATTATTTAACTGAGCACTAATTTAGTTCTAAATTTTAGGTTCTCGACGAAGTGATACTGAAACATACCTTGTGCTTTTATTACTGAACTGCGACGGCTGACGAGAATCAAAGTGGTACTGTTTCCAATAATCCACAAGTAAGTGGTATTATCCGAGGTAATACATCGTAATGGATAAAAATTTACCTAGATTGGTGTACATTATTCCCACACTGTTCATCAGTAGAAGCTGAATAAAGTCAGGTAAGTGCATAGAGTAAAGTGAATTGTTTCCGTGCGTAACCGCTGGACATAATCAAGGAATTGATTATCCAGTTATGACAGATAGGTATGAAAAAATCGACAGTGGCCGTGGATTATACAGAGAATAGATAATTGGTCTGATTATTTTCAGGTTTTGAAGCGGATTCGCCTTACGACTAGAAAATGAAGCTCGTGATCATGTTGATTATTCAACTGGTGTGTTGCTGTGGTGGCGGTGAGTGTTGACGCTTCAACTGCTGTGTTGCTGTGGTGGCGACTTCAACTGGTGTGTTGCTGTGGTGGCGGTGAGTGTTGACGCCTCAACTGGTGTGTTGCTGTGTGTTGCTGACACGTTAGGGCTGAGTTGAGTTCTCAATTCCACGTTTTGACTTTGGTTCGGAGCGTCACATTTTAAATAGTTATAGGAATTTTATTTACATGTGTCATGACGTTAAGTAAATTAATCAGACTCACACTCACACTTACTTTCATCAGACTTGCTCTTACTTTTATCAGACTCGCTCTGACTTCCATCAGACTCGCTCTGACTTCCATCAGACTCGCTCTGACTTCCATCAGACTCGCTCTGACTTTCAGCAAACTCGCACCAACTCTCATCAGACTCGCTCTGACTTATATCAGACTCGCTCTGACTTATATCAGACTCGCTCTGACTTATATCAGACTCGCTCTGACTTTCATCAGACTTTCACTGACTGAAGAACTGACACGAGTTATCAGTATAAAACCAATGTTAATCAAGCCTGAACTAACATGTTATATATGACTAGGTTTTTATTCAAATGCTGCTTTGAACTTGCTTTTTCCTCGAAGTTCCAGACTGCGTTCCAGTCAAAGACTCGACTTATGCGCAGATTGGAAGCGGTGAGTGAGGAAGTACTATACAGCACCTATATTATGAAGAAAAATGAACGCAGTTCTTTTGTTCCAAACCATAATTATGTATAAAAGTTTAGGAATTCGATCGAAATTAAAATTCGAACGTTCAATCTCTATTAATGTATTAATAGCTTTTTGTGCCTTGATGAACGTAATTTGGATTAAATTTTTCTTTCCATCTTAAGCTTTGCATGCGTGGCTAATGATATCTGCTTTTTTGCAGGTGACGGTGAACGTCAAAATTATTCCTCGACTTCAAGTATTTTTCACGCACTGAAATCCGATGTAAATACCGACGACAGGAATATGGAATTCTACCTTCATGCAGGTAAAATAAGAAAACTATTTTGATAATCTGGTGGCAGTGATCGTTGATTACTGAAGAAAATTATTCTGATGTGTTGATGGTTTGAAAAATTATGATCTCGAATTATTATTATTATTATTATTATCATTATTATTATTATGATTATTATTATTATTATGATTATGATTACTATTATTATTATTATTATTTTGGCAGCGGCGTGATGAAGCCATTCCGTCTCCTGCTAGTTTACTGACAGAAATTGAAAAAATTATTTTATAACAAATCAGTAAAACTTTGAAATATTTATTTACAGAGGATGATGACCCGGAAAAAGTTACCCTCGAACATCAAGATATTGTGGAGTGGCTAAAAAATTTGAACGATAAACGCCGCAAGAAAATGTGTAAGAATTTTAGAATTAGATTGTTTAATATTAGAATACTGCCGTATTTATTCCTGGACTTGAACTAATTATAATTGTGTGCTTGGAGCCTGAAACGTAATAAATTGACATGCAAGCACTAGCATAGTTTGTGGGTTGTGCATGCATAGAAGAGGTTAGTGCAAGGTACCAAAACGTAACTGAAATGGTACCTCAACTTAGCTAAAGCGGTCAAATTCTAATATAAATAGTGTCGAATTTGAATAGAAATGTAGTGAACTATTATTTTTTTGATAATGTAATACTAGTACGGCATAAATGACTTAATTAGTATTAAATGAAAATGTAATACTAATAGAATATCTAATTTCGTGTTACTTATTTACTCATTTTGATTAAGGGGAAGAACATTTAAAGAGAGGACGAGCCGCAACCTCGGACAACTCGGACAACTCTTCTTCATCTTTTGTCCGTGAAAACCAGTCTGTTCCGCAAGATCTTAAAAGTTGGATCGATGATCCCTCTCATAAGGTCGGCATCGAAACAACCCCTTATTTCAATGTAACTCAACCTGGTGATGAGAAACCAATGGTGATTGAACCAGATACGAAAATCTCTAGCCCACCCCCAATTGAACTGTGTAAGTGTATTCATGAAACCAATCGTGAGTGTTTCTTTATTGTATTACTAGAAATAAATCCGTCACTGAATGTGTTTCTGTTACATTTTTTAGCATTACTTCATTTTTTAAGAATAGAATTATTTTTTCTTGTTTGTTTGCTGTTTATGCTAATCTTGTTCAGTATTGTCAAATTACTTTTTTTTGCAGTCATAATTTTGGGAATTCTGGTGATCATTCCTCTACTCCTCGCAATCCTGCGAAGGTGCTACAACATCAATAAGGAAGAATTTGATGGTCATCCACAGAGATGTGCTGGTGGAGACCGAACTAGACTGAGCAAAGCGCGAGCGCACTGCAAGCGGGACTTGGACCAAGAAACACTGCAGATTCAGCGCTACCTCGCGCAACAGCGGTCGAAAGATCCAGTTGATCGACTATCTGCCGATCCCGAAAGAGAAAAAGAGACAATTTTTGTTGGAAAGCATATGAGAATTTTTAGGTATGCGCCAGAGCTGCATATTCCTCCCGATGTCAATTCTTTTGCGATGGGATCATCTCGGCTCCCTCGTCCTGAAGCGAAGGCAGAAGAGACAAGTTGCCAACATTAAAATGAAATAATTGCGACGGGTGAACATGTTTCGAGGTCGTTCTAGACATTACGATAAAATAATTGCATCGGGGAAACATGTCACGAAGGTAGTTGTCAGCATTCGAATGAATTTGTTACGACGCGTGGACATGTTCCGAGGGAGTCTTGGTCTTAACGTCATCGGAGCTACAACATTGGACAAGATACGTCCAACAATTTGGCCCCAGAAAGTCAACATACCGTCAAAATTGACGTTGAAGAAGCTTTTCTCGCCTAATATTAGATGCATTGAATTTTATGAACAATATGACAGAAACTGTTACGGATTAACTAATTAAATTTGCGGACAAAACTCCTCCCCGAAAATTTTGATTATTCACGATGGCGAGAAGTTATCTTGGCCAAAAAATCCTCATGTACCGTGTCTTATTAGTGAAAAACTAACCATTTCACAATTTCCTATTTTCATGCCATTTACATTCTTCACATCATAAGACAACAAAGCGTTTTTTCGACGGAATGGAACTCCGCCAGCTGAAATGACTTCCAAACAGATTTCAGCGTTCCCTGGATGGCAAAGCAAAAAAAGTTACCATCACTGGGCATATTTTATACACATAAATAATGCTTTATAATAATTTTAGTTTTCATAATTATAATCATTAAGGAGTCCCATATGATTCTCAAAGTCTTGGGTGTACTTACTTTAGAGTAGCTGATATTGTGCTTCTCAAAATTCTTGAATGGTCGCTGTAAAAGCTCAGTGGCAGTGAATTATCTATCCCAAGGTCGGAGCACAATCTAGGGACATGTATCGCTATTAATTAAATAGGGCTGCGTAAGTAAAATAAGTTTACATAGTAACTGATACATAAAAAAATTGTTCTTAAAAAGCTGGGAAATTTAGACGGATAAAGATTTTACCTTAAATGTATGCATTTTAAACGTAAGTTCAATTAACAAGCTTGCGACATTTGATTGCAAATAATCCTTAATAAAACAATCCCACGAACCGTATCGATATGAGTCATATTCGCTAATGAGAGCAGAAGTGAGGGCTTTGAGTCGGAAACCGGGCTTATAATAAAAGAATGATTCAGTATTTGATGAAACTCCTGCAAACAACGTTGACTGACATGACCACGTCCATTAGTGGGAAACCAGCGTTAAAAGAAGACAGGTGGGAAATTATGAACTAGGATTTAAGTACATAAATTGAAAATTTTTGCCGTCGCATAGTTATCCTGTAATGTACGGGTTTTAGTAGCAGCAACGGTTTTTTGTAGAATGATAACTTCTGCTTAATACTTCTAACAAAAAATAGATCAAAACGATAAATAACTGTACACAGTATCAATCCGGCTTCCGTAATGTTTATGTAACACGAATCCGGCATTACGAAACAGCTGAAGTTCCTACGTTGTGATAATATGAGGACGATGAACGTCAGGTTCCAGGCAACTGTTTCAGCCCGAAGCGTGATATGAGAAAAACTAAATTTGCTTTCTATCTTCAGTTATATAGCGCGTGAAGTGAAATATAATCATTGGTATGAGTGAAAAATTCATCCGGCTTCATATGCATAATAGTCTTCAGAGGTACCGTAAACTAATCAAGAGCAAATTGTTAAAGCATTTTATGCCTTTAGCGATCCACAAAAACTTTGAATACCATTCGTAAAGCTGCCATTAAGACAGAGTTTTCGAACATTCCCGCAGTTTTGGGCGTTTTCATTTCAGTTGTCTTTATGGCGATTGGATTAAATTTTCATTTATTCATCTTTTCGTAAATTTGAGCTAGTAACTTGAATCTTCAGTTCGATTGGTTAACAATCTTCTGAAGCATCTGATGCCTGACACGCTTGGGGTTGATTGGGCAGCATGCAATACATTTACAGCCACCATTAATGAATAATGCATTAAGTAATTTGAAAGGAAGTTGGTGAATTTCCAGTTCAGCTCAAATAGAATCAAAGAATTGAATTTCCAGTGTTTTGCTCCTGCGGTTACATTAAACGTTATATCTTGAAACCAACTAACAAAAGCTAATATCATTTGTCAAAGTGCAGAAGCTCTTCATCATTTGCCTACGGATCCAGGATATATAATCGGGATTTTCTTCACAATGTTAAAATGCGTGTATTTCATATTGATTGCGTCAATTCATTCTGTTGCAGCTTTTAAGGGTGAGTCTCCATGTGTAGATAACTATTTTAAGAGGCAGGTTTGTTTCTTTCATTCACGTATTAATCAGGGTTGCCTGATGGCGTAAAAAACGGCCATGTCCGCGAACAAAAAGGGCTGAAAAGGCCTATAACTGTCTATATATTATTATATTTGTAGGATCCTGTGTAAAAATTTCATTTTTTTAAGTTTAAAAATTTAATTAGGAAGTAACCCTATCATAAAATTTAGCCGGCCACCGCAAGTGAAAAAAAACTAAATCGCGAAATTTATCCGAAAAAAGACCGTCTGGCATTCCTGGTATTAATCAGGGTTGCCATATTGTCCTTATTCCGGACAAATTCCGCAATTTTTTTTCTTCAGTTGAGTTGGATAGTAAAATTTATGATGGCATGCATCTTTATAGAATTTTAAAATGTAATAAAATCAGGACCTACCGGTAACCGGTACCTGCAAATTTATCCGTAAATATTGAATTATTGACATTTTTGGCCATTTTTTATCCGCGGACTTGGCTGTTTTATAGGTCTACTGGCAACCCTGGTATTGATTGCGAGTATGATATAGTGGAATTTTTACATAAGAGGATTCTTGAACATTTTATCCTCAAGTTAGTTGTTCATTAACGAATGGTCTTCTCGAAAAAGACGAGGTTTTTGTTATATGTTGGTGTTGGTATAAACGCTTGAACGAAAAACTTATCGAATTTTCGCTCATTCATCCCCGAAAGATTATGAGAAAGAAACAATAGAGAACTTTATAAGCACAATAAGATTGGTACAGATAAGTGTATGATGACCTTATTTAGATTAAAATTTGAATATAAATAACGTATCATTCACGTTCTAAAATATAGTGGAATGAATATTTGTAATGGTATAGCCTAATCATTTACTTGTGCAATTGTCTAATACTTTTTTTTCAATTACCAAATAATTCTTGGCAGTTGCACAATCGTCCGCGGGCCAGCAGAGCAGCACTGCCATCGACAGCTCAATGTCAGCCCAATCATGCTGTAAATACTTTCGATAGTTTTGAATTATCACACCTTATAGTGTTGAAACAATTCAGACTCCATATTTTTTCTATGCATGTATCGTGAAAATTGAAGCTCATTAATACAAAGTGAATGATATCGCTTTCTTCAAATTTAGTAATTTCCCACTTCGATGTCTTGCAGATGATTCTTTGGAGATCCTGGCTGGATTGCCTTTAGTGTTCGATGGCTTAAAGAAAATACTTTGTGATGATGACGAAAAAGCGCTGGACGATGCTGCCGTCGAACATCTGTCATCAGGTAAGCATTTTATTTGAAATAATTTTTGTATTTTTCTCAGCTTCTGATCGAAAATTGGCTGCATACTCTAATGCATATAATTATTATAAAACAACCAAACAGCATAAGAACAAACGTCGACTTTTAAACCGCCTCTTTTTGCTTACAAATAAAATTTCAAATTAAAATTGTTTGAGTGCCAGTAGGATTTCACAAGTTACAGTACAAGAAATTTGGTACTGTTCCTTGATTAAAATATGATGCTCTTTGGTCCTTCTTTTCACTGGATACAAATTGAATTGTGAACATTTTAAAATGTCTATTTGTTTTGCTACCAAGAAATCATCGGTGCTTCATCGGTGCCTCTGCAGAGAGAGAAACGACAGTCAGATACTCCCGCAACTGACGCTATCAATCGCGCGGGTCTAAGTTAGTAAAGCACAGATATGAACTTGAAATAACTAATAATAAAATTGTAATATTTGCTCCTGTTTATGAAATTAATAATGTTTAGAAATAATATTCACATATGAGGCTTACATTGAGTCCTGTATCAGCTTCCATTTAACTTGGAAAACAAAATGGATAAAAGATGAATTTATTGGTTAAAACAAATTTAGTGCGTACCCAAATTCAAGGGTGAACTAATTTCAATCTTTTTTCTTTTGCAGCCTATTTAATCATCCTATTGACGCTGACAACATTGTTGATCCTGGTTAAAATATTTTCGAAACAGCTGTGTTTTGTATGGAATTTATTACCGAATTTTAGAAACCGACCTACCGACCCAGTAGTTGTCATAGAAGAAAACATTGAACAGGTCGTAGTGGAGCCAGTTTCCTTCATTCCAAGACTAGAAATATTTTGCGATCTATCCAAGAAGCAAGGATGTCTCACAGTCGTACCCAATGTCATTTCGAAGGAGCATGTAACTTACGACATTGAAGATGAGCAAACTTACTTTGATATAAAAGTGAACCTTCATAAAGGTTACTTCAGAAATACAAAGAAACGGGAAGTCATTCCAATGCATGGCTATTATTTCATGGATTTGAAGAATATCATCCAGGAACTGCTATACTCAAAGGACGAAGCTCAGTCGCGGCTTATCGAAGCTTTGCAGGATCAGACCGCAACAAATTCAAAATCAATCATTGATGCTGCAATAGCGCATCCTACTCCAAAGCCTCCTCCAGATACCGATTCGGACGATACTCTGCCTTATATCAGCATGGGAAGAATCCTTCAGATTCCAAAGGTTAAAGGGAGACAAATTCTCACAGTTGTAAATGAGACTTTGACCAGAAGTTGGGCAGGCCTGGTGCCTCCCAGAACATTCGAGCTGCATTCACCTGTCGAAGAGGAACGTTCCGATGGAAGGTCTGCTTCGCTCGGGTACGTGACAGGATCCAGTGGAGTATCAGTTGAAACCACTCCAAAAGAGGACTTGTCCACAGAAAGTTCGCTAGAAAATATTGTTCTCGATGAACGAGAACTGAATGAAAACGTTCAACTTCGAGACGCTTTGAAATATAAGTTATATAACAATGGAGAAGATTCTAATGGAACGGGGATTCTGCAAAATGAAAACGCCGAAAAACGTGCAGCAAACTTACTGGAGGACGTCAGCTGTAACAAACTGAAAGAAGATCTTTTAACTTCTAATTCAGAAATCGGCGTTGAGGCTGTGTCAAGTTTTCAAGATTGTCCACATGACTCAAGTAGTCACGTCTCTCAACAGGAATCACCTGCAGCTCAAGATGATTCTGCAACCGTCTTGCCTGCGGGCAGAGTTTCGTCCTCAGAGGCTGCCACCACCGCGGCGGCAGGGCCATCGCTCAACCAGGCTGCTCCTGGAGAGGTTGAGTCTCTGGCTACTTCCGATGTCCGGAAATTTTCGTCGGCGGAAGTAGAAAATCTAGATGCTACTCGGGAATAATTTCCGTGTCTGCACTCAAAAAGGTGCTTGAAATCATTTAATTTCTTCACAGACAAATTTTTTCGGGATAAAATTTTTTAATCGCGTTAAGAAGACCTTATTTTTATAATGACGTCGTTTAGGACATGTACCATCAGCCAAGTGTATATTAATTGTCAAATAAAATCACGACTTACGTCGAACCTTACTTTTTATATGCGAAATTTGTCTTTGTAATGAAAATTATCGCGTTGGATAGTTTCAATGGAGCTATCCGTTCATAAATTAGTGCTTCTTACAATATAATTCCTCAAATATTTCATCTGAGAGGATGAGAACTGAACGATCTCGGAAATCGCAAAGGAAACTTAAGGTTATTATATCCGACGCAGGAAATGCACTGTGAGTTGGTAAGCATTAAATTTTCGTGGGAGAAAAAAATTAAATTAATTTACTTAATTTTATTTGAATCAGCGTATTGTTCACATTCTAGAATAGGACAACATTCCTGAATGCTTAAAGGTCAACGGCGTCTAAAGATTTAATCTGGAACTTTTGATCTGTCCATCAAAATGTGGTCCGTGACCAATGTGCTTTTTCTCCATCATATACGGTTTAGGCTTCCAATGAAGTGAAATTTTTACTCAATTAACAAAAATAAATGCCAACAGTATAAGTTAGATTTGGACTGGGCAGCATCAGCAGAATCTTTGTCTTTTTGTTCCCTTGTCAAGCATGGAACTAATCCTATCAATGCTACTCTCGGTTCTGCATGAACGTAATAAGGTGGCAAGTGAAAAGGCTAACGACGCTGCCACTCTTCTTACTCTGACAATATGAATGTCATGGCGCACCTTTATGCTTCCATCAAAATCAGTTGGTTCGTAGTTGCATTAATTAAGGAAGGTAAAGTCCAGCAAATTGCAGAGACTTGGATATTTATAGCTACTAAAATGAAGGAATAGGAATAACTTCACTACTAAATTACTATCACCCCACCTCGGGTTAACTGGCGAATGTAGCATTCCCATTCTATTTCCTTCCCAAATTGAACGGAGTGATCTGAGGAGAGTGATCTGAAGGGGTTTTTAGGGAGTAGAAGTTCTACACTTCTCAGAGGAGACGGAAATGACGTGCTGGCGATCATCTCCAAACCTTGCAATAAATACGAGTGCGTGTTCTTCCATTCAAAATAGCTCAAATGCGAGATACATTGAAGCTCATGTCACTGCACCATAAACTCCCAGGTTCCCGTACACAACACAAGGTCGCACGACTATTGCCCTGCCACACGTCCGTGCATGCCGCAATGTCGCACATTTATTGCCCTGCCACTCGCCCGCGCATGCCACAATGTCGCACAACCATTGCCCTGCCACACGCCCGTGCATGCCGCAATGTCGCACATTTATTGCCCTGCCACACGTCCGTGCATGCCACAATGTCGCACGACTATTGCCCTGCCACACGCCCGCGCATGCCACAATGCCGCACATTTATTGTCCTGCCACACGCCCGTGCATGCCACAATGTCGCACGACTATTGTCCTGCCACACGCCCGCGCATGCCACAATGTCGCACATTTATTGTCCTGCCACACGCCTGTGCATGCCACAATATGTCGCACGACTATTGCCCTGCCACACGCCCGTGCATGCCACAATGCCGCACATTTATTGTCCTGCCACACGTCAGTGCACGCCACAATGTCACACAACCATTGCCCTGCCACGCGTCCGTGCATGCCACAATGTCGCACATTTATTGCCCTGCCACTCGCCCGCGCATGCCACAATGTCGCACAACCATTGCCCTGCCACACGCCCGTGCATGCCACAATGTCGCACATTTATTGCCCTGCCACACGGCAGTGCACGCCACAATGCACGGGCAAAGGTAAAGTTGTCGCACAATTATTTTCCATGTGGTCTGTTAATGTAACGAATACCCGATCGTTTAAAAATTTAATGAAATTTGAAAAAGTTTTTGATCACTATCGGTGCCATGAATAACAAAATTGAACGTAATTTTCTCGAATCACGACTCATATTTCTTAATCAACCGTAGTCATATTAAACAAAATTGCGATAACGTGTGACGACATTCACCCACAATATATGAACTTAATGGTTATAATATTATTTACCATCAACTACCAAGTCATTACATTGGAGGTAAAATATTTGAATTTGAATGGGTCCCGAGGATGATCTGTTCTCTCCCGAGAGTACAATAAAAGAGCTAATGTGAATGAATGAACCTATTCCACCTTTTGAAATAGATAAAATGACCACAGTAAATGACCAATATTCATGACTGATATTTGTGATTGGTTAGTCTTTTAAATCAACAGGTTTCAAAAGGGCCTCCAGAATTTGATAAATCTTGTTACGAGAATGCTATTTATATTTCGGTAAAAATAGGTGATATTTTTTTATATGCCTAACTGTTGCCACCGAAAATTGCAGTGGAATTGTTAGATGGTTCTCTGATAAATTCGTCCCGACTTCGATAAACTAACATGAACTTAAGCACGGCATTCACTGCCAAAGATTGAACGTAGTCAATTCTGGGCCACTGAAGGTATAGTGTTAAATATATTGAAAGATCTAGGTGGTACGGTGATGGACTCTCCCGATGGTCTCACTATTTCGTCAATCTTTAAGCTACGTTTGGATATGGTCTGTTGAATTCGGTAGTCAATTGCAACGTGCCATTTACTTGTGTTGGAGATCGCGTTCGTACCTGACAAGTCGGACCTGCATTTATCTGGGTGCTCATTTCAAACTTCACACTTGGTCCACAAGCTTTTCCGTGTGAAGAACATAAAGATGCATAGAAGCCTATGAAGGTAACTGCTTAAAACCACACCATCGGCTGTCCACATCCTCAACATAACACGTTGAAGGGAACAACCCACAGGTGGATTGCAGGGTCTTTTTTTTCCGGACAAATTCAGCGATTTAGTTTTTTAATCGCGTTGGTCGTAAAAAATACATGTTCATCTACCTTGTTGAATATTAAACGATTCAATGAATAGGAAAATCAAATTTTTGTACCGGAACCTACAAGTTTACTGGAAATTTTTGAAGTCCTTATTTTGTTCTCGGGCCTGGCCGCTTTTAGGCCATCTGTCAAACCTGGTGGGTCATGCAGCACTTAACGTGTCAAGCTTGCCGAAGGTATGTATGGCTAAACTGCACCTGGCCAAACCTCTTCAGGCCTAACAAACACAAGTTTCATGGGCGGCAAGAAGTTAAAAAGATGGTTGAAGTGTGCTGGTAGAGCCAGTCATTGGCTGCAAGGATGGTGGGAGTCGGGCTAACTAGAATAGACTAGTCATGAGTAGGTGAAGCCGGAAAAGAAACTGCATTGCTTCTGAGCGAACATGCTTCAGTATCGGCTGAAGACCTCCGGCGATATTATCTGTAGACAGTGTATTACTGGTCTGGATTACGGTGTTCCAGGGCAGTCAGTGGCTTCAAGTTCTGTGACTGAGCAAATTTACAGCATTGTGAGGCTGGGCGTTGGTCCCATGAGCTTGATTAATACTATAATTTGTGGCCTACGGCAGCGCTCCCGGTTATTCTAAGTTCGGATTACTGAGGCATCAGAGTCCGCGGAATCTTGTGACAGAAGGTTAGAATTAAATTGAAGCTACAACAGGATAGATCTTTTTCTACTTTTTCGTATAGGCTATGTCTTTACTTATAATAAGGTAGCTAAAAGCGTGATTGTACCCATGAATTGGGGTGCACACTCTAAGCAACTAATGGTCTCAAGTTGATAATTTCAAATTTCGGGTATAACTGTGATCTCATGTTAGATCAATTTTCAGGCCGGAAATAGTGTTGGAAGTTCTCATACTGATTATTGCAGATTTTTCAAACCTGTTATCCATAGAGGTTTGAAATTTATTCAGAGAAATGCGTTTCTTCATGTTCATATGTTGTTTGGTTTGCGAGTTAATTCTTTTCGTAACAGCGGAGCCGAGAGCCAAAAATGCCGGTAAGTTGCAACTTGGCGCGTCGCGCGTTACTAGTGTGTGAATACATTTTGGTTAGTTCATTGTACTAATTCGTGCGATTAATAATTGAAGTATTGGGATACTGTCATTCACTGGTAAGTTGTAGCGTGAGCTTTCACATGAAGTTTATCTTGCTGAGCCTTTGTGTAAATAATTGGATTATTTTTTTCCAGCCATAGATGTCGACGGAGTAACTGAGCAATCTGATCTGAAAGTAGAAGACCTCACAACTGAAGAGGAATTCGACAGAGGCCCAGTTAAAAAAATTGTTGATGTGGCAGGACAAGTTATGACTGCAGGAGGTAAATAATTAATTTAATTTTGAAGCAAAAGGTAAAATTGTTCAGACCTGTTCTTGTACTCAAAATTTTGAATTTGCCTACTACATCGTCTATAGGGAAGTTTAAATTAAAAATATTGCTTTTCGTTTGCAGCCGACGACTCAACTGGTATCTCTGATCACACTACGGACTCGACTGTTGGGAAAAAGAACGTCGTTTTGCTAAATGTTGACGAAAACGTGTACTGTAAGTAGATTAAGTTAGTCATTTTTTTGAACTTGGTCATCATGCACAAAGTTTACTAATGCAGGTTTCATTGAAGACCAGAGAGTATTTCTTATTGACAATTTTCTTAGTGTTATTCTCTATTCGGCGAATTAGGCTCTTGATAGGAAGTGATAAGTCAAATTTCAGGTTTCCAAGGGACATTTTATTATTATTTTACGAAGTTTCGAATGCAACTTCATTATCAAGTAGAGGAAGGGTTTTGCAGCACATTAATTTTAAATTTTGAAATGACGTAAGTACAAACATGGTTATTATGGATACAGATTGGAATCAAAGCTTAAATTGGATTGGAACTGTTTCAATTGGAACAGTTTCAACGTCCTGACAAATCCGGTAGTTTGTAAATTATTGTAATAGATGTCGACTCATGCTTGATGATGAGAGCTTCAGCTATCGCTGAGGAGGTTGTCAGGACGTTGAAACTGTTCTCGTAATTTAAGCTTTAATTTCAATCTGTATCATAATACTATGTTTGTACTGTCATTTCAAAATTTCAAATTCAGGTGCTGCAAAACCCTTCCTCTACTTGATAATGAATGAAGTTGCATTCGAATCGTCGCAAAATTATAATGAAATTTCCCTTGGAAACCTGATATTTGACTTTTCTTTTCCTATCAAGAGCCTAATTCGCCGAATAGAGAGAAGAGTACATTTTCAATAAGAAATGCTCTCTGGTCTTCGATGAAACCTGCATTGAAGAACTTCCGCCAAGCTACACAAAGTTTACTAAATAAACATTTGCATTCAAAATTGTGATATGTGCTAGGTGACGCTGCGCGGCTGAGGTTATTAAAGGTCTTAAATGCTAAATGTGGTCACAAGAATTATAAAATTATTCGGTTATAAATTTCTTTACCAAATCAAACTTTTTTTCAGTGATTCTAACTTTGGTCCCCGTCATCCTCGTTCTGTTCGGAATCTTGACCATTGTATTCCAATTCCGGCTAGCAGCTGCCATGAATTTGATGAGACGAAGGATGGAGGAAAGTCATGAATTAAGGGAGATTCACCCCGTTCTGTCGCCTGAACCCCGTTCTGACGCGGGCGACGACAACCGCGGTAGCGATACTGACAAGGGCAACAATGGCAGCAAGAGTAAAGCCAACCCGAATTCCGAAGAAATAGAAGATTCGGAGGCAAATGATGTAACTGACCAAACTTCCTTGAAGGAAACCAAGAAGCCTGGACCAGATGGAAAAGCTGGAGCTACTATTGTATCTGTAACGAGCCAAAGAGACGGAGAGGCCGAAGAAAATGTTACAAATGGGGACAAAGAAGATACAACCTCGAGCAATTCAGGCGATGCTTGTCAGGTGGACGTAAGCAAACTTGAAAAATTGGACGAGAGCAAGGAAGGTGCAGCTTTTGCGGGCTCGTGTGACGTGGACAATCTCCTCAAAAAGGCGGATACGTTTGCTGTTGCTATGGAAAACGGAAGTCCCAAGAAGGCTCCAGATTCCGGCGCATGTGCTGGTGGGCTTAAGATGGTCAAATGAATGAAGGAAAAGTGTCGGCCAGTCGGCAGATTATCAGCATAAAGTGTATTAAAGTGCGTTCCTCTCTATTCATTCTTATCTCGAATCTCTCTTCATTCTTATTTTGGTGGAATACTAGAAATAAATTTGAACCCTTTCAGATGATCTTATAAACCCAAGGTAGATTTTTGCTACGGAATTCTCGGATCTGATCGCATGGGTGGCAGGCGAAGTATTACAGTAGCAGATAGCGTAGATTGAACTATTGAAATTGTTCACAGAAAGCCATTTGCAGCCTAATCCGTTGTTCATGGAACATCTAGGGCACTTCACTTGGCAGAATTATCGGCAGAAAGGAAAACCGTGCTTCATGCCAGCAGAGCGTAATGACGTGGGATTGGTGTTCACAAGCTGGTTGAATATACAATTATGGGTGGCATGAACTCCCACTATTTCTTCAATTCCAACCATTGGGGGTGCCGTATGGCAATTGAAGGAATATGAATACAACACACTGCAAGGAGAGTAAGCAAATAAGTGCCGTTTGACAGCGGCTACCCGAAAATTATTACGAAATTACTTTAATTACTTTAAGTTGAGATGAATATGTTCTGCCACATTGGGTGGAATACAAGAGCTTGCTAAGATTTGAATCTACTAAATGGTAATCGGTTAAAGTCGAAATAAATATGCCTTCATCTTGTACAAGTGAAGCAAGAATTTGCCATGATCCTAGGATTTGGTTCCCCAAATACTGCAGAGGCCGACTTTGGAACAGTCGGCTAATTTGTGGTACGGTAGGTGACGGCGACTGCAGACTATACATCCATCGGCCTGGAGGGGATGGGCGCCTTGGGCGGGCATCTAGCGCTCTACTTCAAGTGCGTTGCCTTTCAATGCTTGCTAAATTCATCCAAAGATTCTCATGACACCCTGACGGATTTCACCTGAAATGGAACAACTGATTATTTTTCAGTAGGTTATGGACAATACTTTTATTAATAGGCTTGTTAACCATCAGACTAAGTATTATGCTACTTTTTCTATAGGGCATGTGTGGACGTTTAGACGCGGCGAATCTCAAATTATTATAATTTCCAGAATCTTGGTCAGGGTTCCTAATTAGCTGACAAACAATCCTGGATAGAAGTGCGTTTCGGTTCTTGATATCTGGCCAAATTAAGGTACTGCAACGATATACTGACCTGTTTTTCGGAAAAAGCTAGAATTGGTTTGTAACTTCAATGCATGTACTGGAGTTTCCATTCAAAACGGATTTTGGGGCAAACTAAACCTGGGTGAATGGACAGTTAGGCAACACACTAACCTGGTAGCTGTAAATCAAGTAGTCCTCCTAAACTCCAGCCGCGAGCGTCAGAGTTGCTGGCAGCGTTGGCATTTCTGTCCCCCTTGTCATCGTTGTAATTGATCACACTGTCTCTCATACCTTCGCCATTGTAATAGTAATCAAAATTATCAACTCTGTCTAGGTTGGGGCTGAAATGTTGACTGCTTTCATGTCCACTTTGTCGAACTTTAGAATTGCGGTCGAGTGGAAAGTCGCGCCTTGAGAGAAGACCACCTTGCTGAATAGAAAAATTAACCTTTAGGTAGAGAAAGCACGATTACATGTCGTCTTAATTAAGAAACCTTTCCAGCTAGCATAAAATTGAAAAATGCTTTATTTTCTACGCAAATTGTAGCAAACATTGCCATGTTTTTTGAAGGAAGTGAACATCAGAAAAAAGGGGTTTTCCTTTAAAGAATTTGAGTCCAGCAGCTATCTCAATCAATCGTCAGTTATGGAAAGATCGGGTTCCAAAGGCCGGATCCCTTGTGAATCAAGTCACGAAAAATTCAAGAATCGGCAACAGGCCATGGGCATATTTTCTTCAATGCAGACGCTTCTATTCTAATAGACTGGTATTAAAAATAGGATGACGGTATTGATGTGTGACAGCTAATGAATAGGATGACCAATCATGCGATGTTGAACGGGTATGTCTTATCGCTCCTAATAAGCAAGTGGATAAAACCATTTAACTCAATATCATAGATGATTAAATGCAGGTTTATTAAACTTTTCGGTTACGATTATGAAGATCAAAATTTCCTCACCCGTCGCTCACGGGGCAGCTTACTGGCGCCGTGCGGAAAGACCTCGGGACGCGGAAGCGGCAAGTTTGCTGGTCGAGGGCCGTAACTCGGTGGCATGGTATCTGGCAGTAGTGTGCGAGCGGACCCATTATCTTTGTTGTTTAGTTTTATAGCAATGAGATCTTCGTTTTTCGTGCTAGTAGGCACTCTGTAAATTTCCAGGCCGTTGAAAGTATGAACTCGTTCGGGTAATCGAGGGGGCGGGAGGAGAGGTGATTCTGGGGGTGAAGGAGCCACGGCTCGCGGTCTCAACGGCAGAGGTCTTTTATGCGAGTAGTCCCTAGCGCGACCTCTGTGATACCGTCTCTGTCGGCTTCTGTTGGGCCTGTTCCTAGCCCGGTTGATAACATCAGTCTTGCGATATTCATCATTGTAATCATCGTCAGGGTCTTCCATGAATGCCTTGTCAAAATATTCTTCGCTGGTCGGTAAGTCGTAATTCGGATGCCGGCCGATATCATCGTCAGATTCGCTATTTCTTAATTTAGTACCTCTTTCCTTTTTGAAATCAGGTTCATTTTCTGTTCCGTCAATGTCATGATAGAATTCATCATCATTTATATCGTATATAATTTCGTCGAAAGCGTGAATTTGTTTAATATCGGGTGGAGTGAAATCTTGGTTTTGGGGAAAAATTTCAATGACTGCCCCGAAATGGTTCTCACTAGAAAGTTTATTTCTTGGTCTTTTTCTGTTTCTGTCGGTTTTTTGTCGAGACTTGTTACGATTTTTGCGCCTAGGACCGTTGAAGGTTGAGTGGGGTGGCTTTCTTTCTTTTGATCGAGTTCGTTCTTCGTAAGGAAAAGAGCTTTTATCGTCTATAAAATCACCATCTAGTAATTCGTACGAGTTGATTACCTGTAGAAAGTAGAGACAATTCTTGATTCTATTTACGATGCTTGAATAAACTTATAATGTAGAACAAAGATATGTAAATCGAGTTCATTTATCGCAAAATTGTTATCGATTGCCTTATGAAGATCGAATACGTGAATGCTTATATCATGTTAAAAAGAAGTGATGTGATATAATCGTAGATGTAATGGACCAGCTTCAAGAATTATATTAATTACAGTATAAGGGTTAAATTGCAGATAATTGAATTTCGCGAGTAATTTGCCACACGAGTTATTAGACGAGTTATTTATCGCACGATTTAAAAAAATGATTAACAACTAAAATATTCCAAATATTGTATTTAAATAAGTACACGCAAATGCGCTTAGCTAACCTTGGGAGCTTCTTGCGGTTTCACTTTAGTGACAACTCTAGGCCCCTGTTCGTGCGAGAGAGCCTTGACGACGTCTGAGGGAATGGCATCGTGGTAGGGAGGCCCCGCCATGTGGTGCACGCTCAGCTCGTCCACGGTCTTCTGCTCGCGCGAGTCCGGAGGATTTGAAGACTTGGGCGATGCTCGTCTGCGAGGACCGGACGCATCAGGGGACTTGCCCGGATACTTGGTGTGGTAGTACGGACTCTCCTGCGTTGCAGAAAAAGGATGGTGCACAAACTGGTAAAAATGATCGGCATTTTATCAAAGTTAGATACGTATGAGTAGAAGTGTGTGCACAAACATTCATGTACACATTCTGACCTGAATAATGCATAATGAGTTCCATCCAAGTCGGGAATATATAAAAGGTAAGAGTCCATTAGGCGAAGACACATTTACCAAATAATAAAGAATAATTATTGCTAAGAAGTTGACACTCAAACGCATTAAGTAGCGTAAATTAATTAGTGTAACTCACCAGTGATGAAATTTTTTCTGGTGAAATTTCTTGACTTTTATATCTAGAAGCCGGCCGGAGCTGTGCTTCCTTGCTACTAAGTGTTTCTGAAGATTCACTGCGATGAGATTTTGGAAAATGATCGTACATCTTGAAGCCCTTGTACGGATTGAAACTCTCCTTGCTATCGTCATTTCGCTTAGTGATTTCCTCTTTCTTAATGTGCTCCCGTCTGTCTTCTCTGTCAGCTGAAATGTCATAGTACGTTTTTTCGGTCGTCACCAATGGATTATGACCAGTCTCATTTTCGTGTTTCTCTGCTGAGGGATCATATCTGTGGTTTTTGTGCCTCTCTTCCTTGGATTTCCTTTCGTAAACTGGAGGGCTATAGACATCGCCATCAAGGTTACTTTGCTTGCCGTCTTTTTTACTTTTTTCGTCGGATTTGTTGTAACTTCTTGCAACGTGTTTAGTTCTCTCATGAGAAGGGTTTGGATCCTTTATACGCCGATCTCTCCTCTCATCGGATTTGTCGTGCATGGTTTCTCCATCCTCTATTGCCGAGTCGAAGTATACACTTACATTAAAAATGCCTTTGTTCCTGTTCTGTTCTTTTGAACTTTTTTTGTTGCTTTCAACACTTTCTTGAGCAACATGAACCTCGTTCTCCACCTTAGGTGTTTCTGAAGATTTTACAAACTTATTGCGGTATCCATACGGATCACGCTTTTTATGGTCTCCCGTAGACGTGTCCTCATGATTACTAATGACATCCCTAGGCTTGGGCACGTTTTCCGTACTACGACTGCTAAAACTAGTATTCTTCTTGCCAACTTTTTTGTGTTCTTTAGAATAGATTTCAAAAGATGGATGATGGACTGTTGGTGCATCACCAGAAATGTCAATATGTTTAGTCGGATCTTTGTAATCCTTATGAGTCACCCCTTTTCCAACTTCAATACTTCCAAACACCACCGAGCCTAAGAATGGCATTTTATTAAAATCTGTGGAGCCGATTGATTGTGGATTCTTTGGTATACTAATACCCAGCTTCTTGAACTCTGGTGAGTTCACGTCAATGAGCGAGCCATCTTCCCATCTAAGTTCTGGAGACGCATGAGGAATGAGGCCTTCTGAATTTGGAATTGGTTCTTTGGAACTGAATTCAATTGGATTAGAAGTTTCATGAGATTTTTCTGTCTGTATTTGATGATCATCAAATGTTGTGTGTTCATGTGACACACTTCCGAAGTGAGGAGTTGATATTGTTCTATCATTATCAATAGAACTTTGCCGAGACCATTCAATAGATTCTTTTTTCGGTCTACTTTCCGCGCTAAAATATTCTGGGGACCGGTCGATGCTTGGTTGTCTTCGTCTGAAGCTGCTGGTTTGGGTGTACTTTGGTCGCTTGTTCATCAAGGAAGGGTCAAGTCCTCCTCCCCCTCCGTCAAATATTGGGCCATGGTAAGGCCCATTTCCTGGCCTTCTGTAAACAGGAAACATTTTATTTTTTAATGATTAAATTTCAGATGAAATAATTTTTAAAATATTTGTCGCTTCTAATCTTATAACGCTTCTAATCTTATATAATCTAATCTCCCCGTGAACCAAATATTCTTGAGTTAGCCGAGTACAGATGATCCGTGTAATTCGTATGTGAGCAAAGCGTCCTCATGATGACAAAAAAATAGAATTATTTTAGCTAAAAGTAGAATATTATGTTTGGTCTTACAATAATTCATGTCCTACCATTTAATATTCAATGAGTTGAATTGTCTCGTACCTCCTAGGACGGGGCTCCCACTCAGTGAGCTCGTCCTCCCAGTTTATGGGGACCACTCGCCGCGAGCCGTGACTGCTGACAGCAGATGGCTCTTGTGGTCTGTTCATTGTGATGGCTGCTATCGAGGAGCTGTAGATGGCGTTTAAAATGGGCTTCTGAGGAGCTGAAGGCTTCGGAACGTTAGCTGTTGAAGCATCAGCTGCGGCCGATGCGCGAGGGCGCTCTTTTTGTGAAGTTTCATATGTTTTAGTTGCTCTGGACTCGTGTGAACTTAAGTTCCAATCGTTGAAGTCTCTGGCAAGTTCTTGGGGTGTGAGAAGTGTATGTTTCTGATGGACTTGTCCAAACATCTGTGAATGTAACCGCTTCAGAAAATACTCCGATAAAGTCATTTTCTCAGCGACCGGTAGCGGCTCAACTGCACCTTCATGAGCCGTCGTCGATGTTGCTGGCTGCTCTCCAGCGAATGCCTGAGGAGTCGAAGCACTTGAAGGTAGAACGAACACCAGCAAACACCAGCCTACAGCCAACATTTCCTGCAAAAAATCATGGAGTTATTTCAGATAATTTTCGCAGGTTAAATCAAGAAAGCAGAAGCACGGCCTGTATCATAGGAGAAAGTGGGGGGACAGTAGGACATGGGCACAGTAGGACACCTCAATTATTTTATATACTAATTAATAATATTGAACGACCGTTTGAGGTAGTCATAGCACACAAGTTAGTGCATTGATTGATGTGGTAGAGGTCTAGACATGTTGCCCTGTCTTGCGTTCCTCAGTGAGCAACATTTTGTTTTAGGTAAGGTAAAAGTGAGCCAATATTATTTTGTAATAAATATTAAATATTTTGCTTTACACATCAAATGTTATAGGAGTGGCCATTTGGTGAACTAAAGCTTTCCTGTGTGATTAATTGCTATACAATAGATTAAAAACTAATTACATATGATAAATAGTTACTTGGTTCATCAACATTAAAATGGTGGTCAAAAGATTCTTAAATGATGTTCTGGGGGTACAATGGGACTGTGTCCACGTGTCCGGACTTTTCAATTATTCAAGCCACTACCTTCCAAAGTGAAAATGAAATTGTACGCTCGCATCCAAATATTTCTTGACAGAGACACCCGGCTTTTCGTCATCTTCACCAGAAGAACATTTTAAATTTTTACATAATTTATCTGATGCAATAGAAGAAGAATTAGTGCAGGGAAAAGGTTCAAAACTCATTCCGGCCGTTGCAGAGAGAACGAAAGCTCCATGATTCTATTCTTGTATAATTTGGTTTCACTAAGCCATATTCATTTTATGTACGCTGGAGATGGAGAACAAAGCAAAAAGACGAAGATAACAACTTTTAAATATCTTAGTTGCGTCATAGAGAGAATACACAACGTTTTTTATTTCCTGATGTAGCTGATCTTGTATCAGTCAGCATGGGAGACTTCAAGTCATTCCGAGCAACCCTACTAAATGCGGAAGATCATAAAGACATAATTATAACCTGAAATTTGACTATAATTTTGATGATATCATAATTACGTATAGTGTCCCAATGTACCCTACGGACTGTCCTACAGCACCGTGGGCCGGGCTACTGTGGGCAATTTATATTATTTCATTCTGTATTTTCATTATTTCTAGTCTTTATTCTTTCACACACAGAAGCAACACAGCACGACTCAATAGAAAGAGAAAAATAAACATGCTATTTAGAAATAAATGCTTCCAGGTGAAAGGCCTATACAAGCTATAAAAAAGCTTCGCAGGCGTAATAGGTGACGAGTATGAACATAATAGTGGCAACAAGGACAAAAAAAAATAATACAAATATTACATTCTAAAGTAAAGGCAGTACATAAGTAAATTGTCACAAGAAAAAAAACTATAAGATAAACAACGTTAAATTAATATTGAGCAAGAATATGATCACGAAATTTTGCCTTTAAAATGGATTTGGAACAGTTTATTCTGAAGTCATCAGGCAGTTCATTAAAATGTTTTACACAATTAAAAACAGTACCATTTTTCTCTACCTCCAAACGGACGGGTGGAATGTTGAGACGAACGCCTCTGGTATCATGGAAATGATGAGGAACAAGAGGAGCAAAAAAAAAACTTTCAAAAAGACGCTGATCATGAAAAAGTGCCCTATTCATAAACTGTAAAAGCTTAAATTTGTACATGTCGTCGAATTTCAAGATTTTTGACTGTCTATATAATTCATTTGTACGAATCAATGGTACATAGTTAACATATCGAACCCTAAGGATTGACCGCAGTGTCCTGTTCATCAACGTGATAACCGTTTTTTTTTGTATAGATAGGCACTCCACCCCATATTACAAGGGTATTAGAAAATTTAGATAAAAACAACGAATAGAAGAGCGTTCTTAACGAGGAGAAAGGCAAGACACTTGATAGAGCATGTAACACTCCATGGGCTTTGCTAAGTCCCTGGTAAACCGAAGTAATATGTTTTTTAAAAGACATTTTATTGTCAAGGATTAGGCCTAAATAACGAAAATCGTCAACCCATTCTAAAATTGATCCATTAAAAGTGATGTTCCGAGGGGCGACAACAGGTCTAGACGCAAAAAGCATCAGTTTATTTTTATCGGTGTGTGCCACTAACTTATTTACTAACAGCCATCTTGACAAGTCTGCTGACAGATCCGAAATGCTATCACATGCTTCATCGTAGGTACCTTTCGAGATATAAAAAACGGCATCATCAGCAAAAAGCTTGCAGTTCGCATTAAAAGAAGAGGCGATATCATTTATGAAAATATTAAAAAGAAGAGGCCCCAGAACAGAGCCCTGAGGTACTCCAATCGTGATTGGTCTTGAGGGCGATTTGTACTCACACAATGAAACATATTGTTCCCTATTGGTTAGATATGACTTTATCAATGCATAAAAAGGCCCTCTAATGCCATAACGGTAGAGTTTGTTCAAGAGAATTTGATGGTTCACGCAATCAAAGGCCTTTTGCAGGGCAAGAAAAAGAGCAATACAGTAATTTTTTGCATGGAATTCCTCAAGTAAATCTTGGACTAAGTAAAATATAGCCATTGTAGTGTTGGTGCCCTTACGGAATCCAAATTGACTATCAGATATTGAAGAAAATTTGTCAAGGAAATTCGTAAGTCTAGAGTGAAGAATTTTTTCAAAAATCTTATTAAGGAAGGGCAAGGTAGATATGGGTCGATAGTTGCATACGTTACTTGAGTTGCCAAACTTAAAAATCGGTATGACACGAGCATGCTTCAGTCAAAGGAACAGTTCTGATCATTGCTTAGGTACTTAGCATTGTAACCAAGGATTTGATGCTTAATTTTATTTGCATTTTGCATTCTATAAAGGAAGGTAATTGTGTTATTTTCAATTTAATTTTTTTGGTCCATCGTTCCCAACTTTCCCCTATTGATTTGACCAGTGGGAATTATTATTGATGTCACACTTGAAAATAAGGTATGTGCATAATTTTTGGCATCGCGCTTGATCACACGTTTGTGAGGTAATTGTCTGTGTTCATGAGCCACGATCATGCAAAAGTTAAAATTTTGGTTTGGCTTCACATAGATCTTTATTGTATGAAAATTCAGTGATAAAGGCTGTTGAACTGCCTGATAGACAAGAAAGTGATCTGAAACAAAACTACACTCAAGGCTAGTCACTTACTGCCTGAGCTGTATTGCCCCATATCAAATACAAGCTTTCTCGCCTAAAAAACATTCGAAGGTGAGAGCCATGCTGCCCTGGATCCACCAGCACGTGATGACGCTGGTTACCCCTCAAAAAAATATCTCAACATGTCAAGTTTTTGCCGCTTGCGCACGTTTTCGACACGCGTGGCGGGAAGACGAGTCAAGTTTCACAAGCTTTAAATTATAAAACCAGTGTACAATTGTGAGATATGCAATAAATTAATATTTTAAAACAACTTGTCAAAAATGAAATAACACTTCAAATCCCATCCTAGCTTCACTGAAAATTTCTAGATCTATCAAAATAAAGAATTAGCATGATTTATTTGTTTTGGGGTGAATTCTTCTCAGCTAAATCTAGAATCGCCAAATTTTTCATGAATTTCAGCAGAGTAAGTTTCATCGGAATCACTCAAATCACCCCTCTAAACCCTGACTTACTCTTACTGTTAAAGTAGAAGGGTTGCGAAACAGTAATAAAAGTAGATTAGAAATTTTTATGGCGTAAAATTCAACTGATCGTAAGGGTGACTCGTTTGCGCGAATCAATTTTTCTGTCACTTTTGGCTAGAATAGAAACCTTTACACTCTGAGCAATGCCGTTATGTAGAAGAGCTATCATCGGTAAACGGTTAAGTGTTGGTTGATATACAATTAATTTGTTTGAATTCAACTGCCTCGTTCGTTAATGTTGAAAATTGCAGCTAGCATTCTTTATTCAAGTTTTAAACACTTAATGACCAACGCGAAAACCGTTAAATGTTCTTTTGGAAAATAACATATCTTTGACGTCAAAGTTACGATTAATAATGCGAAAGATAATTTCATCCATTAAATTTACTCATTATTTACTCATTAATCAAATTAAAGGAAATCATTGAGCAAGTATGACTTGTAGAAATTTGCGATAATCGTAATTAATGAGACAGTTTATTCATTAGTTGAATTCAGTCAAATAAAACTCATAAACGAGCTCGCAGGTTTTATAGAAATGTAGGTCTTGTGAGGCCTGAAATGCCGGGCAGCCTTGCTTTCATACTTGTCCGCCAGTGTCCGGTCTGACGAGATTACCTCACATTTAGGCCAAACAACTCTCGCACCAGCTGAGGCTTCTTCTCGCTCATCCTCGTGTACTTTTGTAGGCCAGTTTGCTCATTTGATAGCTTAACGTCAAACCTGTTGACTTGGGACTGCTCAAATAGCAGAATCGTGAAATTCCGAAAATTGAATATCAGTTGTCGCTACTATTTTTGGTCTCGGTCACTGGAAATTATCTTAGTCGGAAAATATATTGGCTTAAAGATGCTCCGACTATCAGTAACTGTCTCATAGAAAGTTGAGGAATAAAAAAAGCAATGGAAGACAATCACTACAAGGCGTGTTCCAGACCACGAGGAACGTCGCAGAGAACTCGTTCTAACAGCTCCAGGGCTTGATTAACTCCGAGCTGCACGAGTTTCTTCCGCTGAAAGCATGAAATTAATCGGAGAAGATGAACAGGAAGAGCTCCTCTCCACAGCGAGTGAAAAAACTCAATAATTCATACTATGCTCGACCATGCAAGGCGCAAGTGGGGTTTTGGAATGTGACGTCGATAATTCGATGTGCTGTAGGCACATGGAATTAAAATAAAACATTGGTCTTATTCCAGTATAGAGGCATAGAAATAAAATTGTTTAGACGTGATTTTCATTAATTCGATAGACTTGGTGTAAAGTTTGTCAAAGAACCACGAACTCTTTTAAACCTGCAGGAAGATAAACTCATGACAGACGTTTATGAGGTCATTCTGGGTTCTTTATTTATCAACATTAAAGATCTTGATGTTTGCTTACAAACCTTAAGTTCTCGGTTACTGGCGGAATCTGTCGTTATCATAAGGCGCTTACAAGGTTTGATTTTGGTTCAGACTATATTCCTTTTAACCTGCTCTATTTTCTCCTTACTCCAAATATTTCATGATGATAATTTAATTTGTTTATTACGACAGCGGTAATTTCATTATATTTATGGGCAAGTTTTTGGGTGGTACCACAGATTCTCCAATTGTGGGAAATCAGACAAAATACGAGAAGTTTTCGACGTTATGATTATTTTTCAATGTTAGTTGGTTTACTGCACTATAAGTCTTACGATGGCACTGGCAATAACGTGTTTTCACGGAGACTTAATGGAGCCTGGAAGAGAGTCGTGCGTGATTTGCTTCCTTGGAGGCGTTTGCTTTCCTTGCTATAGGCATAGTAATTTTGCTTGGTGTTATTCGTGGATTGCTTATTATGAAGGCACTTTCTACAATTAAATCACGACTATTATGTTATTGAGATTTTTAGTTTTTTTTTTTTTTGCAGCGTTTTGCGTCGGTTGACTTACGCCGCTACGGAATGGTAATATGTGGGAGACCAAACGTACGGAGCGCAGAGTTACGTGCGAGCGTTGAAAAACGCGCTGATGAGAAAGCAAAGTTTTTCAATAGTTGCTCGATCGATTCCGTGATTCTGTGAGAGAAACCACTTTCATTTTACACGATAAGGCTAACTCAACTCGATGAGTTCAAGTGAAGTTAGCAAACCACGTGAAAAATTGAACAACGGATTTAGTTGTCGTGATTGAAATTTTCTAATGCGAAGAATTTTTTGATTAGAATTGATGGATGGCTTCAGAATCTAGCTTCAGATCATGCGCAGATTCATTGCATGTGTTGAAGGTTGGGACTTGTTTTACTTCTTAGTCAAAACTGCGCAATGTTCTTGAACTCTAGCACACAAATTAAAAAAAAATTTTATCAATTCGTGGGATCATAAAATAAGGTTTAAGACTAAATGTACAAGGTATTGCTCACTAATTTTCTTGTGAGTGGTTCTCGACCTAATCTTATCGTACTCTACTCTCTCGGATACAAGCTTCTCAGTTTTTTTCGGGACGTTTTAGAAAACGGGTTGAGCCTCGGGTGGGACCGGGTCGAGGCGCACTATTTTCTCCTGCCGGGACCACATTCTGGTCCCGACGCCATGTTCGCTCGGAGGGAAGTAAATTGTAGCGTTCCACTCAGAACCACCTAACGGAATAACTGGTTGGTCTACACATGGTTTAAATATAATTGAAGGAGAATTAACAGAATATAATCGTCTGAAGATTTCATTCGGCTATAAAGGGTCACCTTCTAAAAGTGAAAAACATTTTTGAATGCTTTAAGTGTATTTGGTTAAAGCAAATTAACAACACATATGAATTATAAATGTTAATATTACTTCATATTATTAATAGAATGTTTAATTGGATGCTCGAAAATTTTTTAAACGGCATATTTGTGAAATTTAATTAATTAATGAAGAAAGCCAACCGGATTACTTTCCCTCTGAATCATGCATGAATAAATTAGATAAGACATTTGTTACTTGGACCGCCAAGTAACTTTCTATCACTCGAAAGCCGCAATGAAGTGTAGAGAAGTAAAATACGTTAGACGAGCATCTCCGACACAGGTGAAGAAATGCACTTAAGTTTTTCATACGCGATCCTTTCCGCTTCAAGTAATATGTAAAAACCGACATTGGGTGAGTAAATGCGGCTCATTTGGCAAGCGAGTATAGTATTCATTTACATTACTAATTCGCATGGTAATTTGTGTGTATATAATATCATTTGCATGGTAATTTGTATAGTTATATTATTCGCATGGTAATTTGTCGTAGAACAGCGAGGGTATTCGCAGTAAAAAAATATTGTAAGCAACAAAACTTTATCGGAGCACATTTAGTTATTTTTTGTAGTAACAGAGCATCACTTTCTATATTGCCGATAGAAGGAACCGTTGCATCATTAAAATATATATTAATCCAAATGTATAGTTTCAGTTATTGCCCACTTACCTTATGAATTTGCATCATCTTTTCCGATTAAATATTTGTATCAAGAAACATATCATAAGTGAGTTAATTGCAAGGGAAGCACATTAAACATTACATAATTAAAAAAGGATCAAATCTTAACGTTAAACGGAAAAGCTCAAGTATAATTTAGCGAAAGTGCCGCGTGAAGCGCAGCTACAGAAACAAGTTCTCCGATGGATTTCGGTTAACAGAACCTCCCACTCCACACGCGAGAACTCCTGAGTGCCGACTGACTGGTTGACTGACTTGACTCTTCACAAGTTCACAGCAGTCGCCAGTCGCTCCGGCGTCTGGTCGTCGAGACCATGGTTGAACTATATAAGGTTGTCCTGTGGGGGCTTTATTAGCGGTCTACATCTACTACGTTTTATTCCTATGAATCAGTGGATTCGAAGGCCAAGGTAACTAGAGTTAATTTCACTAAAGTAGACAAACAGAAATTTGAGGGGCGGCTTGATGTAATTGGTCGGGTTAAATTAATACAACAACAATTGGCAATTGAGATTTATTTGATTAAGCTCACGTGACCTGCTCGATGGTGATGATCCCGGCGGAATTGGAAGACCAGGCCAGTGGTGAAGACGAGGTGCTTGGCTCGGTGGTATGCTCGTGGTCGCGTGGTGAGTAGAGACACAAGTGGTGAAGTTGCCCAGGCACGAGATTGAGCTTAGCAGAGACACGAGATTGGAGATTGACCGTTGCAGAGACACGAGATTGAGCGTGGCAGAGACACGAGATTGAGCGTTGCAGAGACACGAGATTGAGCGTAGCAGAGACACGAGATTGAACGTTGCAGAGACACGAGATTGAGCGTTGCAGAGACACGAGATTGAGCGTGGCAGAGACACGAGATTGAGCGTTGCAGAGACGCGAGATTGAGCGTAGCAGAGACACGAGATTGAACGTTGCAGAGACAAGAGATTGAGCGTTGCATAGACATATAAAACAACATGGGCCATTACTTTTTTTTTTTAATCAAGCCTAAAACGAAAACGACCCCATCAAATAAACCTTACATGTTGGAAACCTTAAAATTAAGTTCAAATTTAATCGGAATACAAGTAAATTTGTTTGAAAAAATTGTACGGCCAGGGAACTAATTTTTTCGCCATTGATGCGTAATCGAAAATAATTTCAAAATTTGAGCTTAGTATTTTTTTCTATCATTGATTCTTGAATAATGTTGCTTTACCACATAGATATATCTCACATTATCGAATGAATATATTCTTCATAATAAAAAGGCTTTCACATGATGTAAACTGGTTAGATTGCGTTCCCAGCAAATTATTAATCAGTATTACACCTTCATATTGCCAGACTTTTTAGCACCGAATCGACACTTCAGCGGACTCGGCTGCGAACTCGCCGGCGGACTCAAACGCAAAACCTAACTACACGCTCAACCGAAACACTCATAACTCCCACAATACTGAACAGATTTGCTTGAATTTTGGAATATAAGTAGTTATTATCGATACGCTGCGGCAGGAATTATTACAGATTTTTGGATAAATTAGTTTTCAATTAGAACTAATAAACGTATTTTTTGATCGACCGAAACACTCATAACTCCTACAATACTGAACGGATTTACTTGAATTTTGGAATACAAGTACTTATAATTGATACACTGCGGTAGGAATTATTACAGATTTTTACGTGACTTATTATTGGGTTAGGTTAGGTTAGGTTATGTTAGGTTAGGTTAGGAAATAATTCATGCAAAAATCTGTAATAATTCCCACCGCAGCGTATCAATTATAAGTACTTGTATTCCAAAATTCAAGCAAATCCGTTCAGTATTGTAGGAGTTATGAGTGTTTCGGTCGATCAAAAAATACGTTTATTAGTTTTAATTGAAAACTAATTTATCCAAAAATCTGTAATCATTTCTTCCGCAGCGTATCGATAATAACTACTTATATTCCAAAATTGAGGCTAATCCGTTCAGTATTATAGGAGTTATGAGTGTTTCGGTCGATCAAAAACTACGTTTATTAATTTTAATTGAAAACTAATTTATCAAAAAATCTGTTATAATTCCTGCCGCAGCGTATCGATAATAACTACTTATATTTCAAAATTGAGGCTAATCCGTTCAGTATTATAGGAGTTATGAGTGTTTCGGTCGATAAAAAAATACGTTTATTAGTTTTAATTGAAAACTAATTTATCGAAAAATCTGTAATTATTCCTACCGCAGCGTATCGATAATAACTACTTATATTCAAAAAATTCAAGCAAATCTGTTCAGTATTGTAGGAGTTATGAGTGTTTCGGTTGAGCGTGTAGTTAGGTTTTGCGTTGGAGTCCGCAGGCGAGTCCGTAGAATTGTCGCTAGAGTCTTTTTAGCGGCCAAAATTTGCTCCGTGCTTCAGCACCCTAAATTAAAATGTAGTTATCTTGTTTATGGTTGAAGTTTGAACTACTAGTTCAACCATGATCTTCTTCTTGTGTACGTGGTAAGTGAAAAAACTACGCTGCAACTTCTCCACGCGACAAAATTACTTTTCGCTTCGAATCACCGACATGTGGACAGTGGAACAGCCTCCCCGATGACATCGTTTGCGCTCCAAGTATGAAGGCGTTCAAGAACAGACTAGATAAAGCTATGGAAAAATATATGTTCAGATTTGAAATGCCTAGCAGTCTAGCACCATATCGAACACCGGTGGAAGTCGAGTAGCTATTTCAAACTTTCGTCAGTCATGAAAAAATACGGTCAAATGACACGATTTCGATCTTCTGTGAACAAGGCACGAAAAGAAAAAGAATCGGCGACAGGCCACATCAGGCCTACACTGCAGCGCCGAGATCACTATGTTATGTTATGTCTGCCTTGGACGAGTCTCCAGAGCTCCCTCAGCTCCAAAAGAAGAAGAAGAATGTTATGTTATGATAAGTGCTAACCCGTCTGCCCGTCTTTGTGAAACGTAAACATTGGCAAGCGTAGAGCGGTTGAGGTTACCGGCACAATTCCTCCAATTTAGTAACTTGTACGAGTACGAACTGAAATGTGAGGCACTGTCTAGGTCACGCTAGTAGTAACTAGTAAGTAATATAACTAATATTGGATGAAATATGATCTTTCTAGATCTGTGAATTTTAGGGCCTAATATCACGAACATGACGTTAAATGGAACATGACGTTATGCATAGGCATAATAATTAGGCCTATGCATAACGTCATGTACAATTTAAATTTATGAACATATACCTACCTATTATATGGGTATGTGCAAAAAATTTTTTCCTGGGATCTAAATGAAAATTTACAGCTGATATGAGAAGAAAATTGCCATAAAAATGAAAGTGGAATACAAAAGAAAAGTGAAAAAGCTATCAATTTTTTACTTTTTTAAATTGGCCAATTTCAAAGATTGTACCTAGTATTCACTAAAAGGCAGAATTGAACAGTATAAATTCCAGTTTATTATAATTATTTGTTAAATAATTGATAGATAAAAAATTAATATTAAAGAAACAATGAAAGAATGATGCATGAACAATAATGAACATGAATGATGAATGAAATTCATGATCATGATTTCATGAATGAATGAAAATGATGAGTAGGCCTATACAATAGAGAAATGATGAAAGAATAATGGCGAAATGATGGGAAAAATAATGGGAAAATGATAACAAATTTAACAATAAATGATAATAATAAATTTTAAATAATGATGATAATAAAAATAAAATAATAATTGGTCATTGTGGCTGCTCCTGCTGCTGTCTGCCTGTCCCTAGCTGCCTACCTAGCATAACCTAGCGGCTAGCCTAGCCCTAGTGCCCGGTAGGGCAGCTAGTGGCTTAGCTTAGAGGCTAGGCTGACTAGCATTAGCACTTGACAAATTTCACCAGTAAGCATAGTGACAAACCAGATTTTTTAGAATCAGTTAATTTTTAATTTCCCCATTTACTTAAGATTTAAACCAATTTCTAATGTATGATTATGCTGGTATCCATTCCACAATACTTTGCTTGTCTACTTATAGGACTTAAAAATGAGCTTGAGGGCAAGTCTAAAAAATTCTCTGCTTTGCCACTGTGCCAGTAAGTTCATCAGGCGCTAGCCTGGGCCTGGCTAGGTGCAACCGTGCAAGTAAAGTAGTAAACCATTTCATGTAATAATGTCTTTCTAACAGTAAAATCATCCTGGTCAGTCACTTATATGCGTAATGAATAAATTCATAACCTATGCCTATTATTAGATATGAACCAAAACACTGCCAGTACCAGCGTACCTCACTGGCTCATGACTGAACTGAAAGTGAACTGCAGTGCTAACATGCATTCCTGGAATGGTAGAAATAACTGTCACAATAGCTGCAGAGCTCTGAAATTCTGAGAGCATGCTCTAAGAACTGCAATCTTGATCTGAGATTATCTTTAATTAATTTGAAAATAAAATATCAAGGTTTATTTGTAGCATAAAGTGCAACCCTTTGTGCATCCCAGCTAAGCAGGTAATTGATAGAAATTACTAGAGGAACAAGATGGTGTCATTAAACTTCAAGTTTTTTAGTTTGTTTCCAAACACAAATCAATCAAATTAAGTTAACATTTGGGCAGGACTTTTAAATTTAAATTCCTTATGCATTTCAAAGGGGAAAGTGGCTATCCACCATTTTGCTAGCATTGTTGTTCTTTGCTGGTACTTCCTGCACTGTGCTGCACATATTATATAATGCCTAATGAATTAAACTGTTCAAGCAGTATTTTTACAGTGACTTGACCTGTTTTCCAACAGGCCTGTGGATGCTGGAGACTATTCTGCCAGAGTCAGACTGCCGTTAAGACACGTGGACAAGTCTTCAGAGAGCCCAAAAATTTTTGATTAAAAATCAATACTCTGTCAGTCGCAATTTCAACTATATAACACTAACCACCATCCTGTTCTGAGGCTGTAAGCCCACAATCACATAGGAGTTTGCCAGACTGGATCATTGTTGACTGTAAAAAGGCTAAAAATTGAATTCATTTTCATATATTAAAATTTCTGATATAACTTGAATTTTCTGCCATTTATGATTATTTACACAATTGAAGATGGATGATAATGATATTGAAGATCTTATATTATCTGATGATTTTTGGGATACTACAGCTAGAATGGCAAGAAACACCATAGTGCCCAAAGTGCGAAGAAGGAAGAAAACGTTTGAAAATGATGACGCATCTCAGGTATGGCACCATCGCATGAGCCTTAAGTGAGTGTAGTTAGATAGCATTCACAAGAAATCATAAAGAAGTTAAATAAGATTTATATTTTCACTCAAATGAAAATTTATAGTGGTATATCAGAGACATTTTTAGACTCTTCCCAAGTTCATTTTTGAGTCCTATAAAGTTCTTATTAATAGACCAGTTAAGCATCATGGATACCAGCATTATCCTACACAAGATGAAGGATAATGACAATGAGTTTAAATCTTCAGTAACTAGATGAGAAATTTAAAAATAAACTGATTCTAAAAAATCTCTTGTTTGCCTTTATGTATGATATAAATATATGATATTGCAGCCATTTTACTCTCAATATACGTTTATTTAAATGCATCCTTCTTTAGTAACAAATGTGACTTGAGTTTTGAAACATCTTTTCAATGAGTTATGTGGATTAGTTAGCTTGCTTTTTTTAGAGAATGGATTGTCACAAATAATTTTATTAATACTGGGTACATTTTGGTTGTATTTTAGAAACTCATAAACTTTCTCATATATATATATAGGTAAATTTTACAAATAACATAAATACATGAAAATTTATGCTTAACAGACTGATATGTAATTTTTTTCATTAACAGGCAGAGTATGGTTCAGGACAGGTTGAAATCTGAATCTATAAATAAGAAGCAATTTTTATTTTGTCAAATTGTCTTTACTCTTTTTTTGCTTAATTTATGAATATATTTTTTTCTCACAGTCAACTACGAAGGATGCTGCCTATGTTATTACAAAGGAATCTGGCTGTGGAAAACCTAACTGTTGCATCCAACTAGCTGAACAAGTGGAAACTAAGAAGAAAGAAGTTACTCAAAATTATTGCAGTAGCAGTGTAGCCAGCCTAGACTCTCAAATTAGCCTTGACTCTCAGTTGCCAACTTGTAATGGAATTGTAGGAACTCCAGTTTCAAACAATTCTGGTGCAGAAGGGTTCATATTTTCTCATAGCTTAAAATCCAATGGCTCATCAGCAATTGATCATCTACTTGACACGCGCAATGAAAGTGATATCCCTGGCCATGCTAGAGTGTTTGTTAGGACTTGGGGTTGTGCTCACAACAGTAGTGACTCGGAATACATGGCTGGACAGTTAGCAGCTTATGGATATGATATAGTAGGTAAGTTTGATTTGTTAATTCACTTCAATAATTTTCTCATTTACTTTAGTATTTGAATATCTTGTTTACTCTTTTGATCTCTTCAATAGTTCATTTAATTATTATTTCAAATCAAATTGAATGCACGGCTGTTCTTTTCAGACAAAAATGGCAAAACATGGAGGCTTTATATAACCACAAGTCAATGATCATAAATACTTACTTACATTATATTGCAAAAGAAAATGAATAGAATCATTTAGCTGCTCAGCAAAACAATCACACACACAAAATACTGCTAAACAAAAATGTATAAAGTTTGTCACTACAATAGCTGATGCTTCAAATTGATTCAAATCAGTTCATGGCAAAATTTACAGGTGGATGAATTGTAAGTTAATATAATCAGTTATTGTGCAGAAAGTATATACTCAATTTAAGGTTTAATTTTCTTATTTGTAGTACTGTCTTTTTCAAATATTTATTGTGCCATTTTTCGTTTGACAGATGATAAACTAGAAGCTGATCTGTGGCTGCTCAACAGTTGCACTGTGAAGAATCCTGCTGAACATCACCTCAGAAACGAAATAAATGCTGCTCATGCCTTGGGCAAAAAGGTTGTGGTTGCTGGCTGTGTCTCACAGGGTAAGGCCCACCGCTGTCAGAGGGATCAAGTGTTTGACAAGTGACTATGTAGCACAAACTTCATGGCTTCTTGTTCTCACTGTTTGCAATTTTAATTAAATGCTTAATTTAATTTGTTTACTCTTAGCATCTTTAGCCACCTTCATGAAGTAGATAAATGTATCTAGGTTAATTTTCAGACTAACTTTTGTACTGTAAACCAAGCGCACAGTTGCACTGGTGAGTGAAGTTTTTGTTTTATAATGTATGTACTATATAGTTTCAGTGTTGTTATCAATGTAGCATGGTATTAATCTAGATTAATTGTTATTAGTCTAGCAGATGATTTTTGCATTATTGTTGTTTCTGTGCTTTCCACAAGATCTTCCACTATCTTGTTTCTTATTTCTAGTCATATATTCTCATGATTACTAATTTATTATTTAATCATGTTCTTTTCATTTTCTGAGTGCAGTGTTCTTATGACAAGCAGATGACATATCTTCTGGTTTCTTCATTTATGCATTTAGTTATTTTTACTCGTTGGATTTTTTCTCTTTTATGTCTTGTTTGTATTCTCATTCTTTTCCTATGTTTTATTTTCATTTGTATACATTTTTGTTGCACATCCTATCCCCATATTTTAGTTACATTTGTATATATTTCTGTCGAACATTCTATCCCTATAGTTTAGTTACATTTGTATACGTTTCTGTTGAACAGGGTGTTTTGTTACTTTAACAAAGTTTATAAATTTAGATTCAGAAGCATGTATTTACTAATTTTATTGGGCTTTTTTGTGTTTAGAAAAAGGCACTCAGCCCCATTACTATAACATAGAATAACTTATTATTATTGTGCTTATTGTAGGTAATCTCTCTGTTTAAGTATTTGCAGGTTATCCTCAATATGTTTATTTCCACTTTTGACACTGAATTATCAAATATTTTCATCTAATTTTCCCCTCAGTTATATTTTTTTGAGATTATGGTTGTGTAGCTTGTTTAGATAACTCAATTCTTATTATTACACCTTCTGTTACTTGATATTACTCATTGTTCTTTGCTTATAATTATGTATGAGTTCCAGTTGAATTAGACAAGTATTAAACATGTTTAACTTGACTCCTACACTGACTCCTACCTAGCAAAGTCATTGTGTAATTAGTTAAGCTAACAAATATTATTAGTTCATACAATTGAAAAATATATTTTCTCATATCTTCACTTCCATAGAATAGTAAATTTCTCAAATTGATATTTTTTTACAATATTTTGTTTAGTTTAACATAATAATTCATTTACCAAGCATAGGTATTTTATATTGTGGCTTAATAATTTCTGGTATCAGAAATATAATTAAAAGTACCTTATTTTGAATGTTTTATATATTTTCCAGAGACAGGAACTATTGAGTCTCCTCCACAAAGTTTGATTAATCAATTTTCTTATTTCAACCTAATCCTATTTTCTCTACGCCCTGAAAAATTTGGTTACTCTGTATTCATCAATGTTCTTGCCCTGAAAATTTTAGTTCTAATTGTGGCCCAACTTTCACAGGTGCACCCAAGTCTGAGTTCCTGGCTGGCCTGAGCATCGTGGGAGTGCAGCAGATCGATCGAGTTGTTGAGGTAGTTGAGGAGACTCTTAGAGGTCAGTCTAATATCTAAAATTATCTTCTTTTAAATTAAAAAATTATCTTCTTTCTTACATTATTCTGTTTCTCAATATTTCATTATCCTTAGTAGGTAACGTCTCTTGCAGAAGATTACCACTGAAATGTCGATAATTGTTGATTCCTATTTGTAGCATACTTAGCATAACTGTAAATATTGTGTGGGAGATTTTCTGTATAATTTAATTGTGTTAAATTTAATTTTCAGCCTTGAACACCTGGAAATTATCAAAGGTTAATAAAATATCTCAAATTCTCAAAATGTTGGTTATGGTGCTTTGAGTGTGAGTGTCTTGCTGATCACATGGCAATTGTAGCTAATTTGTTGTCCAGGAAACAGTGTGAGACTACTTGGAACTAAAAAGAAGTCAGGCAAGAAATTGGGAGGGGCTTGTCTTCAGTTGCCTAAGATTCGAAGGAACCCGCTCATTGAAATAATATCAATCAATACTGGCTGCCTCAACCAGTGCACTTACTGCAAGACCAAGCACGCGCGCGGCCAGCTTGGCTCCTATCCTGTCGGTGAGCCATGGGTCCTATGGCGTGTTCTAAAATGAATTGGTGAATTCTCGAATTAGCAGCTTCAATATAAATTTTTGGAATGAAAGTTGCAGAGGTTTTTTCATAAGCTAATGGGCGGAAAAAATTAGTTATTAAATGTACAATTTCATAAATTTTTTTTTTTTTCATGATAATTGAAAGTAAGACATGTATGGCCACGGCAAAGTTTCCTACAACAGCGTTTCTACTGTACTTGTTAAACCTTTTACTACTGTACAATATATCTTGTAATTATTCATTTTTAAAACTTTGCCTGATAATCTAACTTCTTTCAATTTGCCCTAGATGAGCTGGTGGCGCGGGCAGTGCAGTCTTTTAGCGAGGGCGTTGTGGAGATCTGGCTGACGTCAGAGGACACCGGAGCGTATGGTCGTGATATTGGCACCAGCCTGCCTGAACTTCTGCGCCGCCTCGTGGAGGTCATCCCACCGCGCTGCAAACTCAGGCTTGGCATGACCAACCCACCCTACATTCTCGACCACCTCAAGGTATGCCAGATTTTCTTTGAGCTTGAAAAACAAGTCAGTTGATGATTCTTTAAATCATTACTTTCTTGATAAATTTCATTATTTAAAAAGCCAATTGAAATTAATTGTAATTTTCTCTGCCGACGTTCATAAAAAAGTTACTAATACTGAACTTTCTCCAATTTAATAGATGTTACTCAGTCATTCCAGAACATCATGTCTCAGTGAACTAAATGATTAAATAGTTTATTTAAATAAACCCCACAAAAACTTAGGAACAGCTTTATTTCAAATTATGTATGTGTAATTGAAATGTTTTCTATCATCAAAGCCAAAATTAATTTTCTGGAGATCCTGATTTTTTATCAATTTGAGCAAATCTCGGTTGAATCCCATCAAGTTAAACTTAGTATTCTATAATGTCATTCAAATTAATTTTTCACAAGGCTGTTTTGCAACTCATCCTGTTGTCCCCCAACAGATCTTTTTCCAAGCAATGAGCCCCCTTATGTTGCTCGGATTTTTCAGGACATGGCAGAGATTTTGCGGCATCCTCGAGTGTACAAGTTTCTTCACGTGCCGGTTCAGAGCGGCAGCGACAACGTCCTGTGGGACATGAAGAGGGAATACAGGAGGGAGCAGTTCTGCACCGTCGTCGACACGCTCAGTGAAAAGTATGCTGTTTGTGCTTGCGCTGTACCTTCGTAAAACATTTTAGTTTTAAAACAAAAGGTAAGGTGACTTGATATAATAATATTATAGCGGTTTCAGCGTTTACTAGGCCGTAGGCCTGTGGCCGATTCTCTACATCGCAGAACATTCACAGCTTATTGCGGTTGGCTATTTGTATTTTGTATGTTGTGGATTTGCCTTCAATAATACGGAATTTTCTTGTGAAAGTTGATCGGACTCCTAAAATTAACTTTCAGAGGTGTGCATAGGCTTTTTTACGAAAAAAAAGTATTAAATTCATGATGTTTTATTCCTATGCTGCAGTGTCCCTGGCATCACGATAGCGACTGACATCATATGCGGTTACCCCAGTGAAAAGGCTGAGGATTTTGAAGAGACTATGAGTCTGTGTCGCAAGTATCGCTTCCCGTCACTCTTCATCAACCAGTTCTACCCCAGGCCCGGAACTCCCGCTGCACGCCTGCCCAGGATTGATCCAAAGCTTGTAAGTCTTGATCTAAAATTATTGCTGGAAACTCAGGTCTACAATTTAATTGTGATTTAACAGCTTTTATCCTTTGTCATTGTTGATGGCTCCCACTCGGAATTACCCTAAAGGTCGTCTGTCCAGATTTCTAATTGTATCTTCGTTTCAGTAAAAAATATTCAGTAAATCACAAGCTATCGAAAAGTAATCGTTTGTATTCCCTCCAATTTTGTTGCACGTTTCATTGGCCCTGCGCGGATAGAAGTGATATCAATCATTTGCGTGGATTTTCCACCAGGCAATTAAACAATTTTCTATTCAACAAAGTTTGAAAACGGCGCTCTCAAAATTTTTCATTAAGCCCAATAACTTGAAATGAATGTATCGCTAATAGTCGTTCACTAGTGAGCCACTATTGATAATTTTTACTCGCAAAGTTAGAGTAATTATGCTGTCTTTAGGTAAAAAGCCGCACGAAGCAGTTGAGCGACTTCTTCCAGTCGTATCGGCCGTATGATCACAAGCTGGGGAAGGAGCAAGAAGTGCTTGTCACCGAGGAATCTCATGACAAAAAATTCTGGGTTGGACACAACGATTTCTATGAACAGGTACACAATTTCCTTGACAGTTTAGAATTGAAATAATGGAGAATGTTGTGATTAATATTTAATTTGTTATGAAGAACTCGTGAACAAGTGTTCTGAAGAACTCGTGAAAACGGTCGATGAATTTGATCCTGTCTCATATACCTATACTTCACTGACGAGAAATAATATGTAGACAATTAAAAAGATTGATTTTATGATTGGGTATGTTATTGCCCTATCCAAAGCAATTTTTCCAAATCATAGGTCATTTTCCGAACATGCCATAGAAGATGAGCACGAGATTCACTTATGCACACTGTCACCGTCTCAAACGGTATATTAATGCGTGTGACTTATTGGCGATTTTTCGTTAAACCAGATGCTCAGTGTAGAACTGTTTTTTTCTGCCTGCAGGTATTGGTGCCTAAGGAAGAGAATTATTTAGGTAAAGTTCTGCGGGTTGTGATAACGGAGACGGGCAAACACTTCATGAAGGGGCGTGTGGTGACTACGCCTGCTGATCGCCTTGTATCACCTGCTGTGGCGCCAACTTTACCACAGGCACGTCTATTATGCCATCTCTTTAATTAATGGTATAATTAACTGTGTGTTCATACTTGCACTGATTATTAAGCCTCCATAATATCACGCTGCATAAAATTTTTTTTCTTGTATCATGGGCAGAAGTGAATAAAATGTGGCCTTCAAGCAAAAAAAAATCAAGTTACAAGAATTCTGTTTATACTTGACAATTATTTAAATATACGATGGACAAACCGCGGATTGAACGTGATAAATAACTACTTGCATCTTATTTCTGTAGGCAGATGTTAAGTTCGATCTCTATTTTCACACATTCTGCTAGTAAGGCTGTTTGTAAATATTTTTACAACAGCACATTGTTGAAATGAAAAGTTAAGTTGGATCATGAAAGCATAATGGGGATAAGTAGCTCCAGTTATAGTTATATAGCGGACGCTAAATTTATTAGCACTCCAATTATACAGATTGTCAATAAATGTCTCAATTGGCAACAAATTATATATTAATGAACGTCGGTTCTAAATTATTTGTCTTTAATCCAAAAACTATTCGTAGCCAATACGCGGCAGAAATTGTAGATGATGGTCAACAAAAACGAAGACACGAAACCGTTTGCACAGTATGTAGACCGGTCGTCCGAGAGACAGATGATTAGTGAAATCCTGCCGCCGCAGCTGTATAAGCGCAATTATAATTCTGGTAGTTGATTCTTGAACTGCACTGCTCAGGCTCCGAGCATTTTTGTTTTACTTGACAGAAGAAAAAATCTCTCCTGAAGAGAGTTGAGCGATGATTGATATGAGAGGAAATATATTAATTTTACGTTTTTGCAGGGTGTTGTTTCTGGTACTTCTGACGCGACTCTCAAGAACGGCACTCTCACGTCCGACCAAGATCTCGCCACGCGCAAACAGGAGCTTGCACGACAGGAGAAATGGATCCTGCTTAGCTTCGTTGTGATAATCTCGGCTTTGCTCGTTAAACTCGCTTGGGTTTGCTTGAGGATAATTTCTGCGTGAGCCCTTGATGGTTGCTGCTAGTCAATAATTTGGGAGAGCAAGAAGTTAGGCAAGGTTTGTAGTGGAAAACTGGCAATGAGCGTAGCATATGCTACGGTTTACTGACATACGATGTAAAGTGTCGTAACAGATGCGAGATTCAAGATTTGAATAACCGTTTGTTTTTCATTCAATGCCAATTACTCGTACATGCAACGAGAAATGTTGATCGCAATGCTCCGTAATACTATAACCTCGTAAAAACGCTCACAGTTCCTATCCGCTTGGAAATTTAATTCTATCGTTTTTTACATTAGTTTGCCTGGCTAAATTTGGGATTCTAGGTGTAAATGTTGCATTGTGACTTTATTTGTGCTCTTGATTATTCTGTAATCTTTAATTGAAGAATACAGAAAACACATTTTGTGGCCCTGGCCTCCAAAATTTTTAATGAAAATATGGGTAAGTTACTTGGTACTTTCTTTTTTGCTTTACATTCTTAGTCAATTCGAAATTCTAAAGCAAACAAATGTAAATCATCAAGTAATTTGATTCCACGCACGTGACTTTTCTGCACAAATTTCACAGCAGCATAAGGGAATTTGAAACAATTATGAGAAAAACGTATAATTCTAAACTTTGGCATTAACTCGCCACGAAACGAACAGCATTGCAAGGGAAAAAGTGAAATAATTATTTACATCATGTTGCTTGTTTCCAATCCAACGATATTTGGCCGATAAGGATTTCACAACTGAACCGTAGGTACCTGCCTCAATGCCGTTGTCAATACCCGGCATAGAAAGAACTAGCACCTAAACGTGTCAGTGCCGAGAAACGAAGAGTTCATACGCAGCTTACGCTCTAATATCTACTACCTAGGCTCGAGAGCGTTCGGAATGGAAGCATGTTCAACAATATTTGACGATTTACTCGTGGAGACTTTCCTCTTATACACAACTCACTACGGATCATACATTTAGAAGATAACAGTGAATATATCTTATTTTGGATTACCTTATAAAGACTCGTAATTCCTCTAATGTGCACAGATTGACATCTGTGAATAATGATGAACCGCTACACTTAAAATGGTCATCGGAATTGCGGAGAAGGGCTTAAACTAAGAATAATGAACGTCCTAGAAACCAAAATGCACTGAGACAGGAACGGAAATGAACTAAAGAGCAGTGATGTAAACGAGTTGAATTACATCGGATCCCTAAGATAAAGTGAATTTTGTGTTCAATTAGGTTTATCAAAAATACTACATTGGGGGATGTTGAAGCGTCGTGATGGATTGATTATACGTTAAAGAAACCTAAGTAGTGCACAAAGAATGATTATTGCTTATTGGAACGATGACACAGCTGACTAATCCTTATAAGTGAGAAATTCTAGAGTAGCACCGAAGTGTGTAAACTCGAAATAGTGGCATAGCGTCTAACTAGATTCTAGGAAGCGTTCCTTAGCGTTATTATCACCAGTAAACATCACATTCAAGTTAACGATTTGTACCCATGTTCAATGAAATCTATGCATTTTCATCAATAGCTAACTTATAACATAAAACTGCAACGCATTTTATTCTCGTTTACTGAATGCAAAAGAGATGGCAACGTCGAGTTTTGAAGTTGTATTATCTTCATATATAAGTTAGAGTTAACAAAATCATGGCAGCTGTCGTAACATAAAGGTATGTGCACTAAGATACCAGCATGAAACCCGCAGTTGGGAAACTGGTCGACAGACATGGTAACGTCTACACTTTCTTCCCTTACTTCATTTTGAGTAGAAGCTCACTAAAAATAAGAATTAAACAAGAAGGGTTCCTTAATAACATGAATGAAACCAAGAAGTGTAGCTTGGCAAAAAAAAGGTAAATGTAAAATCTTCGAAAAAAGTTAATAAGTTAAAGTTTAAATTTATAGTGAAAAATGGACGAGAATAATCACTGGAGGAAAACGCGGGAACGTTTCAATCTTTTCACTTCATCAGGCCAGGGACGTGATTGAAGAGCTTACAAATTTAGTCACGGTTCTTGGGCAAGTTCTAGTTTCACTTCCATTTCCCTTAGTTGATTGATGCAGCTGCAAAACAGAGCTCTTTGATACACACAAGTAAGGTTTGGCTTAGTAGATGCTACTAAATAGGATTAACTGAATAGCATACATCTACTCATTTTGATAAGATGGTGATAGTACAAATGGTCGATTTTTGTTTGCTGATCTCAGTAATTTAGAAAAGGAAAATTTGAACAGTTAAATGAAAGCTTCAACGATTAGAAAACACATATTATCTTAAATATGAAATTCATTTCATTTGATGAACAATTTTGGAACGCTTACCTCGTTGTCACAACATTTTACAAATCCTCTTCACTTGACGAATTGACGCACTAGACCCAAGTAATTAATTTTATTTACGGATGTGTGTTGAAGTTTTAGACTATTTCTTTGTTAGAAATGCATTCATAAACAACCCATTTAGGATTGCGCAAGAAGCCACATGAAATAAGCTAACTTTTTCTATGAACGCGGTTATTCGAAAACAGCATAAATATCCGCATAAATAAGGAAAACACTTTGTCAAAAACAAATACCATAACAAAACTTCATCACTCATAAGAGTTCTACACTCACTTCAACCAAAACTCGGACTCTTGCTTCACGAAGAGCGCCTGGGCAATAAGGTCGCCCTGAGGGCCACTGAATACTTGAGGCACCGAGACCTCGCCAGGCACGTTGGTCCAGAAGCTGCATATGGCCGCCCTTAGGGCGGTCAAGTGAGTCGCTGCTGAGGGCTGCAGACGACATCTGCAACACCACCATCATTGTTAGCGGAATATTCTTGAAAACGCATGTAGTGCGTGGGCAAAAAATGGTATAACAAGGACAGGTAATGATTGAAATGTCATATTGTTCGATGTAAGTAAACATCAAAAGATTAAACATTTTCAACACACACAAAATAAGACTTCTCTCAATCAGGCGAAATAAATCAAAGAGGAACTGACATAATGGAATAGTTACAATGATTTACCATGCATAGTTAATTAATTTTATTGCATCTGACCGCGCAATGGCTTCCCTGAGGCTCCTGATGCAGTCGCGTAGACACAACAGTGACTGCAGTACGCGCGTCCTGTCGGGTCCTTCCACAGCAGCCAGACTTGATAAGCCGTCCAAGCTAAAGAAAATAGAGAACAGCTAACCATTACACTCGTGAAAAATATTCTTTTTGATACATAAATTTCACTCAGTTTTTCTTCCAGTTGCCATATGATAATGTCGGTTTTATTGATTTTGTTTAGGTGAGAAGTGAAGATGAAAATTTTTCAACATAGCTGTTTAACAATCATGATAATAAAAATAAAAACTCTAGTATCACAAAAACGTACATTCTGAATTTTAAATTTGATTTATTCAAACTTAGTTTGACAATACATATACGAAATAGTACGTATATAAATCAAAAGCAGCCAAACTCATTTCAGTACAAAACAATTCAACTCACACCAAGTCCCTCATTTTGTTGCCTGTAGCAGTTAAGGCATCAAGTGCAACTTTTAGAATTGTTGAATCAAGTATCTCGTCAACAGCGCGCTGCTCATTTGCTTCATCCTGTATCGTGAGGCTGACAGGTGAAACGTCCTGATGACGAGTGTCATGGCTAAATTGACTAGCACATGCGTCTTTTTCTGGTTCAGAAGAGTGCAGTACTGGACAGAATTTTGAAGGTGTAATAGAATTAGGAACAAAATGTGAAGTACTATATATGATGGAAGACTCAGAAGATGTAATGGCAGACACTGATGAAGCTGAAGCAGGGCGACCTCCATTGAGGGAATCAAGTTGTGCAGCCGAGTAGGCCAATGCATCCTTAAGCATCACATCCTCAATGTTGTTTTGATTCGCAAATGATGTCATTGAAGAGTCAGAGGTTTCCCCAGAACTTAATAGGCTAGAAAACTCTGAGGTTGATGAATTAAAATAGGCCAGTTCTTTAGGATACTCAACCAAATTACTGAATTTTGTGAGAGAAAACTGCAGGAAGATTTGAGACATTGAATCAAAAAGTTTTGTTTCAGTGCTTTCATTGGCTAACAGCGATTTAAAGCGTCTCAAATATTTTAATACAGAGTTCGGAAATTGATCAAAGAGCACAGCGCGCCAGTGCTTTTCCCAGCACACAATAAGGTCATCAAGTGTCCAAGGAGGTTTTCTGAACACAATTTGTAGCCACAAATCATCATAAACATCTTGCATTATTTGTTTCAAAATATTTTCAATTGTGTTTTTCAAGGAAGAACAAATGATTTCACGAGGTGGAATTTGAACAGGGCATAGCGAATCAGAATTTGTTGATGAAAAATTCATAATCATGTTTTCAGTTTGCCAGAACTCTGTTCGACCAATAATTCCCAAATTAGTGACAGAATCAGTTGATGGAACCGAATCCTCATCTCTTGAGGCATCTACTTCTTTGCACTGTGTTCTCAACAAGACTTCCCTTTTTTGGCCCTGCCGATTCAAGTCACCATTCTTTTTCACAGACCCTATGTCCTGATTTTTTTCTACAGGAAAGAGCTGCAATGAATTTGATGATCGTGTCTCATTTAACCATTCCAACTTGTTCCACATGCCCGTGGAGTCAATACACAGAATGTTTGCCATGTGAACTTTGGTCCTAAAGTTCATATCATTGCTAAGGAGCATCACACAGAAGCCCTGTTGCTGTAACCACAAACAGCAGTCGCGTATACAGTCATCGCCTTTCTGAAACAGTCAATTATTGCAGCATGAAATTTATAAGTTATTATTGATTAAGAAAAGATCAATATAGTTTGGAATTTCAAATGGATAAACATAATGTAATAAAGAGAATGAATATATCATAAAAATCATTTAAAAAGTATCAGGGTATAAGTTTGCAGAGTTTAAATGAGCAACCAGCTTATAAAGAAAACTAAAAATATTTAATCAACAAAAGAAAGATTTAGACTACTGATTATGCTAGCAAGAAACACTTTCTAGTGGAACAATCGAATGTAACCTACCTTGCTTCCCATTGTTTCACAAAGATATTTAAAATTAGTGTAGCTTTGTCCCTGTACAATGCTGGAATAACTTTCACCGGCCACAGCAGAAGCTGGGCCAAAAGCTTTATTGCACCATTTAATTGCAGCACGAACTCTAGCCACGAGTGCTTCTTGCTGTTTGAGGCCATCCAGCTCTACTAGAGCAGTGTAGGGCACAACTAGCACATGATATTCAGATCCTCTCATGAAAATGTTATTAGATGACAGAGATTTCAACAAACTCAGGTTGTGAATCAGAATGTTAGTATCAACAACAATGCATGTGGTCAAAGATTTGACATCAAGTTCTATTTGACCAAATCTACTGAGACAGCTTGCATCCTCCAAAGGTATGGGCTTGCAAGGTTTGTTGTCAAAAAGTGTACCTCTGGCCATGCCACCTTTTTCAGCATCAATGCCTTCTGCAATACTTTGTGGAAATATTTTTTTGTTTGATGTAATTCCAACAGCAATGGCTGAAGAATCAGGTGTAATAGCACCAAATTTACTAGGCAATGACTGCACAAATTCATTGGGAAATTCGTCAGTGGAATGCTTCTCAGTGGAAATCATTGAACTTGTTTCATCTTGGTGAGTTATAGGCCATTGGGTATCAGGATCAAGTAAAGTTTGTACTGCTTGACAATCTTTTGGTTGTTGAGAGAGTTCCGTTATTTTTGCTTTTTTGCAAAATAATTTTAGAACATTCACATTTTTTATTTCCTTGCACTCTGAAGTACAAAGTTGTGGAACTTTGAGCACTTTCCCAAGTCCATCAAGCGTTCTTCCAACAGACTCACTTAAGTTTCTCTCAGAAATATTTCTTGAAGTCTCTTCTGAAATGATATTGGTGGTGAAAGGTTGCTTTTTTGGGATTTTTGGCTTGCATTGATGCAAAAACGTCTTTGATTTTGGTGGAGAAGAAGAAGAGTTAATTCCACTAAGAGTATTGGTTGACTTCATAACATTAATATGATGTAATGTATACCCGTCATCTTGGTTTTCAGACTTTACTGATGAAATAAATTTTTTTGTAGAAATAGATTTCATATTGGCTGTACTTGCTTCTGATGTATGTCCAGAATCATTCTGGAACTTGGGAGAACCAAATTTAGGATCCAATTTCATTGAAGATTTTGTTAAGATTGGATTTTTCTGTATACCACCAGCCTTGGGCAGGATTTCCTTTTTGAGATTAACATCTTCAAGATTTTGACATTTCAGTTTCTTACTTTTTGGAGAGAAATTGTCCAAGTCAGGTTTTTCTATTGCTGACTTTTTGCGCTTCTCAGAACCACTTTTGGTATCAATGGAAGTCATAAGTTTGTTGGTTTTACCTTTACAAAGAAAAATTTCCTTTGGAACAACCTTCTGATATTGAAGACACTTGCTGCAGCCTTCAGGGCAGGGCTCAAAATTAGGAAGTTCCCATGTAACTTCTTTAGTCAGACAATTTGCATAGTAAATCTGGCCTTTTCGAGAGCGTGACTGTTTCAAGATCCAATGAGGGGGTAGTTCCGAAGAGCATGAAAGGTTGTCAGCATTTTCATGTGAATTGCTCCCAGTTTTTCTTGAATCATTTTGTGCACTTTTGTTAGCAGCCATTTATGCAGCCGTAAAATAATCAATGTGGTGAACTGCAATACCATGAAGTATCAAAATTCAAAACAGTCTTTAGGCTAATTTCTGAAAAAAAAAATTAATATTAACTTTACTTCAAACATATTTTCAGTTTTTAAATCTTTAACAGTGGAGCTAGGAAATTACAACAGCCTATGGAACAACCTAAAAAATTAAAATGCCAAGAGAAATATATTAATGAGATCATTTTTCTGGATACAAAAAATTGAATTGGTAGCATATGTACCAGTATGTACTGTTGAATTGGTAGCATAAGGGACAGTTTTGAGAGTTTTCCCTTAATAACTTCTTACCAAGAAACATTTCATAAACAAGTTTAGGCTCATTTTAAAGGTATTTGCATGGGCTATTGTATGGCATCTCTGAAAAAATTCCATATGCTCATTTGTAAGGTGCCAGACACAAAATAAAAGCCTCCTGAACTAACCCTGGGAATGGGATAATTAGGGACACTTGAAATAAAACTTAATTTTAAAACGTTTGAAGCATGCAGAGTGTACTCATCCATTACTAAAAGTACTCTGAAGTCTTCCTCTTCCTTTGTATATAATGTAGATAAAGAATAAATGAAATTTTCTGTGATTTTTACTCATTTTTCCTTTATTGATATGATATTACCTCCTCCATAAATTACTGTATTTTTGATGCGACATTACTTAATCCGTGGACATGCCATTGAGCATTGACAATGATCTTGTCCACTGAAAGCTTCATATCAGCAGCCATGTAGCATTTCTTCTGCAACTAAGCATACAGGATGGCTTGTAATTTTGCAACCTTTTAATTGAGTCAAGCAAATTCACTATAACAAAAACAAAAATTTATAAAGCATACCTACTTGAAACAGAAATATTTTAGTGACAACCATTATATTTTTTGGATAAATAAAGCATAGTTTAGGTTAATTACTTTTCATTCTATGTTGCATGGTGCACAATTTTATCTATGACATTATATGCACAATTTTGTGATAATTGATGATGCATTAATTTTTTATTAACCAAAATATTTTTTGCTGAGCAAAGTAAATATAATCAAAATTCTTTGTTGCCAATTGATTTTTTGTTAACTGGAACCTTTGTTAACCAAGGTTCTACAGTAAATGCATTTTTAGGGGTGCCCCTTTATACCCATCATGCAGAAATAGCTGCCATTTTTATTTGGAATGAGCTACACAAATTCTGTCAATCATGTTTTTAAGCCAACACCTGTGTGCAACTTTTAAGCTTAAGAAATGTCAAGAATAAAGTCTCTTGCTTGACACTATGATGGGAGCAATTACTAAATAAGAGCTTTTTAGGAACCAGTTTGTTATAAATTTGCTGGTCATTTTCAAAAATTTATTCATTATTTATGTATAAGTTCTAGTATCCATGATACTTGCATTACTTGGAATACTTACAGTCATAGTCACATGACTAAAAATGGGAGTCCCAACAAGTCTGTTTTGCCACTATGATGTACTGTCAAGGCCACTATTCTTGCCATAGTGCTTAAGCTGTGCTGCATGCCTTCAATATAAATAATCTATTCTATAAACAAAACTGAAGCAAAGCTCCTAACTCTCCTGTTGTCAAAACTGGTGCAGTGCTGCCAGGTGGTCTGTGCAGCATGGAAGGATTATGCAACCTATGGAAGTAAGTAAGATATTTTACTGCTCATTTCTTCAATTTCTAATTTACTTTGTGAATCACAGTTTGTGTACGTTGTACTGCATATGTGTAACAGTGTACATTATTGTATTGTATTGCTCAGCTGACTATAGTGTGAAATCAGATTTTTTAGAATCATTTCATTTTTAATTTCCTCATGTATTACAATTTTAAAAAGAAAGACAAATTTTAAAAATAAAGATTAAAATTTATCAAGCTTCCAAGCCTCCGTTATCAACGTCTGCATGGTGACCTACAAGCATACCCACGGTTTATATAAGGTCCCAGTAGGATTACTGGAATTTGAAACAAGAACCATCATTAGGGGCCACAGCTATAAACTAAAAAAACTGCATTGTAACACATCCATGCAACATTTCTTCTTGCTGCTTTGAGTCACCAATATGTGGAACAGCCTCCCTGATAGCATCGTTGACACTCCAAGTATGAACGCCTTCAAGAACAGACTAGACAAAGCTATGCAGGACCATATATTCAGTCTTGAAATGCCTAGCACATTACACAGACCAGGCAATAAGCCCAGCAGCTATTTCAGTGGTTCACAAAGTGGGCAATATCACCACCCTGGAGGTGGTGGAAAGATCTGGGGGGACAGTGAGGAAGAAAGAGGCAGTTGGGGGTGGCAGTCTGCAAAGTTGATGTCAGAAGTTTGTCCGTTTGTTTGACGATTTGTACACAACACATGCAGGACATGACTCCGAGTTTAATAAAAAATTTTCACAAGCAAAAAAATCACCATTTGGTAATAAGGAATTTATACCCAAAATTTCGTTTGAATAGGTTCAAAGGTTTGGAGTAAATTCTTGGATCACTGCAAAGTTTGGCCCATATTGCCATATAACTTCCAAATGAAGGTGATATTAAAAAAAATTCACAAGCTAAACACCACCATTAGGTTCTAATGAATGCGTGTTCCAAGTTTTATCAAGCTGTGTTCATTAGTTTGGGAGATATTCCTTGGACACTTAATTTGGAGATATGCTATGCGACTGGCTGTGAGACCGGCCACAAGTCCGGCCGTAAATTTATTCGAGCCGTCTTGAATTTATAGTGCTGAAACAGTTGAAACTGTAAAAATATATTGGTTTATTAGATGAGGTTCTATTTGTTGAATACACATTCATGTTAACCTTCCTTTTTACAACACTTCTCTTTAACTTCACTTCTTGTTGTTTGTTTGTCTGCTACAAATCTTGTAATCAAAATTTAACACGCTTCTACTTATCCTATCAATCTGAAATTTTGCACACTTGTGTAAAGTTGGAGAAAATGCATGAATCAAATGTCAAAATAAATGATTTTAAAAATTAAATTTTTTTTTTTTTCAATATAAAAAAATTGAAAAAATAATTTTGTCAGCTACAAATCTTATAGGGTAACTGATATTTGACACACTTTTACCTGTCTAATTGATCTGAAATTTTGCACACTTGTGTGAAGTCAGAGGCAATGCATGAATCAATTACGTAATAGAATAAATAATTTAGAAAAAAATATATATTAAAAAAATTATATTAAAAAATTGAAAAATTAATTTTTTTAATATTTGAAAATTAAATGAGAAATTCATTGTACATCGGTAAGATTGGAGACACTGGATTCTTTGGAAGTGTTGTCTTTAAAAAGTAATTTTTAAACGTATATTAATTTTACAACACTTCTCTTTAACTTCACTTGTTGTTTGTTTGTCTGTCTGCTACAAATCTTATAATTGATATTTAACACACTTCTACCTGTCCAATTGATCTGAAATTTGGCACACTTGCATAAAGTTGGAGACAATGCATGAATCAATTGACAGAATAAATGATTTTAAGAATTGAATTTTTTTCTTTTCAATATTGAAAAAATAATAATTTTGCTAGCTACAAATCTTATTATCAATATTTGACACACTTCTACCTGTCCAATCCATCTGAAATTTTGCACACTTGCGTAAAGTTGGAGACAATGCATGAATCAGTTAACAGGATGAATGCTTGTTCATTCTATGCTCATTTCTAGAATTCCACCCTGATGGAGAGTCTAAAAAACTATCTGCTTAGCCAGGACCATTGGAGTGATTGGACCAATGTTTCAATAAGTACCATCAAACAGGATAATAAGGGAGTAAAGGGACAGTTTTGAGCATTTTTCATTAATAACTTCTTGAGTTCTTACCATGAAACTTTTAATAAACAAGATTGGGCTCATCAAGTCATTCTAAAGGTATTTGCAAATTGCAAGGGCTATTGTATGGCATCTCTGAATTCTGAAACAATTCCATATGCCATTTGTAAGGTGCCAGACACAAATTGAAAGCCTCCTGAACTAACCCTAGGAACAGGTAATCCGACATAGTGGCAAAGCAGAGAGTTTTTTATACTCTCCCTCAAGTTCATTTTTGACTTTGAGTCCTATAAGTAGACAAGCAAAGTAGCCTATCATGGTCCCATGGATACCAGCATTATCATACATAATAAATTGGTTTAAGCCTTGAGTAAATGAGGAAATAAAAATGAACTGATTCTAAAAAAATCTCTGGTTTGTAACTATGGCGTAATCATAATAACATAAGGGACACCTGAAATAAAACTCAATTTTGAAAAGTTTGAACTTTGAAGCATGCAGTGTAATTATCCAATATCCATTATTAACAGTACGTAGCTAGGGTAAATGCGGTATATTCCGTCATTGTGGGTAATTCCGTCACCTCTCTAGTTTTTCCTTTATATTAAGCTTTGTTTTTGTTCCATGCGTTTGTTGATGGTTGAAATGGTGACATCATTCATTTGCGCATCGAACTAATGCCAAAACACTAGGTCTTGGCCATCTAGCGGGAAAATATTGAGATCCAAAGAGAGACAATGCACGCTACCCAGTGAGATCATAGAAAAATGTGTCAAATTTGACAGTTAACCTTGCTCTCCCAAATAGTGAATAACTGTTTGTATAGGAAGAATATTATGGTTTGAAACTTTTAAATACGTCTGTGAATATATTAGGAATCCTTTAAGTATACATGTATTTGCTGATTTCAAGTGGTAAATAAATTAATAGATGATTAAGTTGAGAAATGGATTTAGACACATGAAAACTAATTCTGCCACAACTTGAATTGGACACACACAGATCGTTACAAGCTATGTACAAAAATTAAAATTTGCTTAATTAAAAGCTTAATAGTTGTTAATTAAAAGCGTAATTAAGTAGTGTTCAATATTCATTAGTGTTCTAATTCAAAGCCGTGTTGTATTATACACAAAGCCGTGTTGTTGTAAATACAGCTCACACAGCAAACGGAATTCGAACACGTGGATGATGGCATTACGTATCAGTAGAATTTGAAGCGCGGACGGAATACGCCTCACCACGTGCCGAATATTGCCACACAC